CACCGCTGCCACCAATTATAGACAAACTATGGCCACCCCTTTGCGATATCCCAACAAGTTCCAATTATAAAGGAATCAGCCCACCAATGATCACCCACAATGGAGAACTGAGGGAAAAATCTGCCTCAGACACACTCACACACAAGATGGAGGACAAAAGGCAAACAACAAGGCTTGGCCTAAGGCGAGGCCATAAGGGAAATCAGAGCACACGCACATCCTCACTCACAAAAAGCCAGACAGTGGGAAAACTTCCACTGTATATTTTTATTTTGCCCTTGCCCCTTCCAACTAATTATTAAGGATTACTTTCGCTGCCACCATTTATTATTTCATAGGCCACCTCCTTTACTGAAATGTTTAAAAGCCACATGGAGACTTCAGTTGGAATAAAACAGGAACATGCTATTTATTTAGAACTGTTAATAAGCTTAATGGTTGCAGAAACTTCAATACAGAGGAATGGTACTTATATTCTTGAGTTTCTTTAAACAAAGTTGCACACATAGAAATCCTTCCTTCCTTCACAACACTCTTAACACCATAGAGGCCTAAGAACTATTATTTCCTCAAAGGTTTCTTTCTTATAACCCAAAAAGTTCCCAAATCTCTTCCTTCCTTTCCTTCACCACCAATTCCCTGACTTTCTTCTTCTATCCTCATCTCCTAACTGATCTTAAAATGGCTGTGGTCTTCTTCCTTTTGATCTAGCACTGTCCATCTCCAGCTACTAAGCTTTTTCCTCCAATTTCTATCAGCCAATCAAACTGCACTTCTGCCTTAGATAGTGCCTGATTGCTCCACCCCAATCATCTCTTGCTTAGCTTCAGCAAGCTGGCCTGGCTTCTGCCTTTACACCAAGCCTTTACACACCTTTAGGGTAGGCCGATCTGTTACACACACCTTCAGGATCTTTTTGATTTATGGTGATTCTATCATGGGACTTTCTTGGAAAGATTTGTTCAAAGGAGTGTTTACCATTATCTTCCTTTGAGGTTGAGGGGGTACACTTTTACCAAGGACAAACAACTGGTTTCCATGGCTGAACAGGGATTCAAACCTATGTCTTCTGGAATCCTAGCCCAAGGGACTATACCAATTTTCACGATGTGTTATGTGTATATGTGCCTTTAAATTGCCTGGTGACGTATGGCAGCTCCATGAATTCCATAGGGGTTTTTTAGGAAAGGAAAACTCAAGAGATTGCTTTACCAGTTCCTCCACTCTGAAACACAGCCTACTTAACCTAGTTTTCTTTGGTGGTCTTCAATTCAAGCAATATGCAGGGCAGATCTTGTTTAGCTTCCAAAAGCAGATGGAATTTGGTGCCTTTAGGCCAGTTCATGATATATATGCACTTTGTATTTTAGTACCAACCTCCACACTAATACATTGTCTTGGTTCATAAAACTCAGATTATTCCCACTCCCTCATCTTCTCCTCTGATTGCAGTTGCAAGGTGATCACAAGTTTTTGCTTCTTACCCCCTGCCAGCCCCAGTCAATACCAAGTTATTTTTATGCTTGAACCCACACAAATGGCAGATTATGCATAAATCACGGTTTGTAATCGGTTTATTTCCCTAAATGATAATTAATCTTGTCCTGGTTCAGGTACACCAATTACTGAAAAAGGGAATATTTTTCTTCTTCTCACAACTGCCCTGAAAGACAAGGAAATTGGGTTTGGCTTAACTGTATTATATTAAAGCAGTTTAGCTTTCTGTTCAAACGTCATCTCATCATCTAGCCCTAGGAATTATGGTTCTCAAAGAAAGTACATAAAATGATAGTTTCTATTATTTTAAAACATAAATGGACTGCATTATAAGTGCAAGATACATGAATCCCACGAATTCACAGGAATGCATGATAATGGACACATAAATCAATTAGGGATCTCACCTTTTTTTAAAACAAAAAAAAAACCCTCTAGCTCTTCTGATTGAAATGTCAGAAGTGCCTGGTTATCACTTCAGTGGTTGGAGAAACAGATCTCTCCTCATATCCATGACTGGCAAATATCACCATTATGAAAAATAAAATGTTATGTACATTTCATTTTAACACCTTACAGATTATGTCTTCTTGTGGTGCAGAATTTAAATTGCTCGGGTACAACATTCCTCCTCCCCTTCAAAATACTCAGTACAGACTGACTGTGAAAGAACTTGCCCCACATCATATGTTGTTCTACTCTTTCAATTCAGGTTGCATTGAACCAGTGGCATAAGTGAATTACAAGTTGTTATGAGACTCCAGATTGGAAAAGTAGTCACAAAAACCATGCACACATCTCAAGTTCTATGCATCTACTCTACCAGGGACCAAGACTTGTATACTTACCTTATATGTTTGGTTGTCTGTGAAGTTCTATACTTGTGTTTATATGATAGAAAATAAGGTATTTGTTTCAAATATAGACAATGTTGTTTTGCTTACATTATAGAAAGAAAGGAAATATATTGTTATGTATAGCTATGTATTGTTTTGGGAAAGTAGGGAGAGTTATTGGACTTTGGTGAAGTGTCAGAATGGGATTTTTAGAAGGCCGTTGCATATCATATACGAATCTAAGTCAGTTAGATACAGAGTAAAATTAAGAAGAGTAATAATTTTTAGAATAGTCAGGGTCAGCTGACCAGAGAACAAAGTGAAGTCTGTTGGGGTGTTTTAGGAAGAACAATACAAATAGTCATGTATGTGTTTTTTAAATTTTTTGTCCCACCTTTCTCCCAAAGTATAAATAACTATAAGAATTAAGCTAAAGCATTATTTTGTAACACGTTTGATCAACAAGTAATTGTAAATAGCTTCCGCACCTCTCAAAGATATAAACATCCCACTTACATCCAAGTCATAGTTACAAATGGGGGTGAGAAAAGAGGAAAAAAGACATCTAGGAAGAGCAAAGGAACTCTGTAAGCATTATCATGGGGGAAAGGTGTCTCCACTAAAGCTTTCTCACCAATCCTTATTTCCATGACAACCCAAAAATTTCAAAACCCAATTGTCACAGGGACAGAAAGTGAGATACAATATTCTTAACAGTTGCACAGACAGCAAAACAAACATTACAAGGGTCTTGATCCATCCATCCCTGTATTATCCAAAACCAAAAATAAATTGGCTGGAATTACACTTAAAAAATCATACCTCTTCCAATTTACATACAAATTCAACTTAGGAACAAATCTACAGAATCTATCATGTTCTTAACCCAGGGACAGCTGTAATCTGAAAAATACATTAAGAATCTTAAGGGCAACCGGGCTGTGGTGCAGTTAGCTGAGAGCTAGCTGCATTAAATCACTACTGACCGAGAGATTAGGAAGCCAGCCCGGGTCGGAGTGAGTTTCTGGTCATTTGTCTAGCTGGGAAGGCACCATAAAAACCTTCCAGCAGTGTGCAGAGGAATGAGGAAGTACTCCATCAAAGGACTCAGTGTCACAATGGATGGTGAAGCGGCAGCTCCCCCAGTGGCCGGAATCCAGCATACCCTCATAAAGCCAGAAAAAGCTTGGGCACAGCTGGAATGTTAAATTGCCTCTGTGTCTAACTGGCATTGAATATTTGCCATGTATATGTGCATTGTAATCCGTTCTGAATCCCCTGTGGGATGAGAAGGGCGGAATATAAATACTGTAAATAAATAAATAAATCATAGAATCAGAGTTAAAAGAGACCTTGTGGGCAATCCAGTCCAACCCCCTGCCAAGATGCAGAACAATCGCATTTGAAGCGTTCAAATAAACAGACAATTTAAATCTGTCCACTCAGGTCGCTATCTTAAGTGGACAGTTTCTGCTACCAACAAATGTCTCATGGTAACATGTCCCTGTGCTAGCAATTGACTTTTTTCCTTAAATGTGTGTATGGAGAGAATACATTAAGGTTTAGATAAGAAAAAGGCTATTATTTAAAATATATTGCCACCTCCCCGGAATGAAGATACTTCAAAGAAGAGATTTTTCTAAGCACCTTTGTCCAAAAACTTGCTATTAGTCTGGCTTTGAGAACACTATAGAGTTCTTTTATCTTCTCATCAAATGAGAAAATAAAAACAATAGGAGTGTCATCTTGACCTCTACAAGGTCTTAAAAGCTTTCAATTTCCTATGTATTCATGCAATTACTATAAAATGCAGGTCCAAAAATAATTTACAAATAATAAAAAGCACAGCATGATATAATGGGAAAGTATACATACGAATAAGCTTTTGTGGCATTTTAACATTCAGATATTCTATTATTCATTCTGAGAATGAACAACTTTCAAATTATACATAATTAATCAGACTGGAAAATGTCAAGTAAACAAATGCATTACAATAGGAAACCATTCATTAAATACTGAACGGTGGTCCTCTTCAATATGGAAATATGCCTCCATCAGTGCTAATGTGCTGATGAAAAGAAATTGTTTGCAAAGCAATCATTAATCTGACTGACTAAACAGAGTCTGAGGCTGCTTTCAGATCACCTCTCCCCCTTTCAAACTAAAACCAAGAACAACAATTTCAAAGATTAATTAACAGAAAAAGCCTTATTTGGGCTTTGAATCCAGCACCTTCTCCAGCCATAAAATTCACAACGTAATTGGAAATCTAGAAGGTAAATCTGTTCATTAGCAAGTATGTGAAGCCGTGCATGTCATGAGACAGAGAGAGCACTGTATGGAAAGTCACTCAACCATCTGTCCTGGAGGCAACTTATTTACTCTCCAGTGTAAAACAACGGCCTCTTGGGGCAATTTTTCCCCCTCTGTGCATCAACTAATGCTTTCTGGTGCATGTTTAATTTTTTTGTGTGCACAATAAAAATGCTTTGAAAATAATGTTTATAAGGAGTCGAAATTAACTAACAACCAAAGCCACCAGGGATCATTCACTCACATTCTTCTATGTGGGCCTTTTAAAAAACAGTCTGCAAAAAGACACATATTTTTTAAAGACAGCTGCTCACCCACACAAAGAAAGAGCTCACATAAAACACAGCCAACGACAGTATCATTCACTAAATTCTTAGTGAAAATTTATTATTCTTTTTTCTAGTACAATAAACTACAAAGTTTGTACAGTATAAAATAACAACAGCCACAAAGCAACAATGCAATCGTAATGCTGACATTCTGTGATAATACAGCGAAGAAAATGTTCTTGGCCTTACCATTCCATTCTACTGCAAGCATAAAAGCTAAAACTACAAATTTTAACATAAAAACCTTCTTTCACATTTAGTTGCAAGAAGACTCCATATAACTTGGGGATCCTGGACAATACCAGTTAAGAAGATGGATGCACCCAACGAAGTAAAAGTTTTAAAAGAAAAGTACACAACTTTCAAGATGGATAGGGACCTTTTCCATGCCACCTTGTGTTCAGTTCTCACCAAAGCAAACGGTCTGCAAAGAAAAGACAACATTTACAGAGAAAAAGTCAATTTTTGAGCCTGAGTGAAATACCCACATAGCTGCAAAGTGGTCAGATGTTTCTCGAAACATTTCTCATTTCAAGAATTGCATTTTTTAAAATTGTAGCACCTCATACAGATTAGAAATATGAAATAGACAAATCTATCTATGACCTAATGTGCAAATCATTGTATAGAGGGGGGTACATTTTCAGTTTCAAAGTCACACAAGAGGCATAGTTCTTACCTTAAATGAAGAAAAATTCCACTTGACAATTGCATCAGATGTATTTAGTACGATTGAGGGCTCTTTCAGCAAAATGACCAGTTTCATCTGTGATTTTTTCCCAATCGGTTTGTCCGACAACAAAGCCAATAGCTCTTTTTCTGTCTGCATCCTTTTTCTCTTCAAGGTCTGCCCACCTCACCTAAAACAAAGAAAGGGTTGGATTGACACTTGTTTCTCGAAAAAGAAACAAGACTTTTTAACCCCCCTCCCCCCCAAAAAAGATTTCAAACGGGATGATGGCAACTCTACATTTAGTTGAAGAATTTTAACATACTGATTGAGCTGGGCACATCTTAAAGCCTGACTCAATTTCTGCAGCCTGCGTAATTTCAGAAATCTACATAATTATTTCCAAACAATGCTTTTGCTCATAAGGAAAAAAGTCCAAGAGAACTTTTGTATCTTGTGGTCCTTTATAAAATTCTGCATGAATGAATTGGTAGGTGTTTGTGGAAAAATTACTGAATGTTCCTTTTTTCAGGAAGAACTTAAAACATTTCTATTTCACCACTAGCTATTGAAAAACCAAATTCTTTATTGAAAACATTATTTTTAAAAGTTGCTTATAACCGCGTGGACCTCACAAGTATGAAATTGCCATATTCTACCCCAGTGAACCTGCTCCAAAGTGCCTTCTCATGCAAACAGGAAGTCCCAAGTCCATAAGTACATTATTTGGGGATACGTTTTTTGCTTTCCTCTGAGACATGATCATGCCTTGCCTATTTCATTCATGTTCTTGTTACTTCCTATTTTGATTATGAAGCTCTCCTGCTGTACCAGAAGACTGCTCATAATCAGTCCTTTTAATGCAATAAAACAGGATAGTGTTCATTCTGTTTAGTATAGTTAATTCTTACTGGCTCAAAATCAGTTAACTTCTTTTAGTCCTGATATCCAGACTGAGCAGGAAAAAATAGTTCACCTAACTTTTATTGAATCTACTTTGTATTATCTATATATTATTTAGCTCTGAAACTGAGAATGTACTGAAATAACAAGGAGTAATGATAATGCTAACCAATTCTATGATGAAATGGTCTATGCATCTGATAAAATAGACTGAGTCTATGAAAGCTTTTGATATAATTCTTTCAGTCTGTAAGGTACTGAAAGATTCTCTTATAGTACTGTCATACACACTGACACAATTACATCTTTGAATACAACCCAAATACAAAAGAACTGAGTTAAAGAAATTGAATATAAGGAGCTCCCACGAAAGAACTGAGTAAGACAGCTCTAGCTTTTTGTGAAAAGCCATCTAGATACATTGCCCGGAAACATCATATTGACAGAGATATTTATTACCCTCTTCTTTCCTGGTTCCGAAGCACGGGTATCATAATCATCAGGAAGTTGCAGATAATCTTCCATTCTGCTAGCAATTGCTTCCCAATCACGCTTTCTCTTAGCACCAGTTCGTAATCCATCCAATTTGTCTGAGAATAAACATACAGCCTTAGAGTTAAAGAAGAAAACTGTATAGCACCCAGCATAAACAAGATGCATGGAGATATTCTCAAAAGGGCAAGTTGGTGCCTTACAGCAGCAGAACTTGCACATTGTTGGGTATTTTCTTGAGTGGAACAATTCAGAAAAAAATGGGAAAACTCTTTTCCATCTTTCTGAGGTATCCTCGCTTAATTCTGCAAAGTATAAATATATATTCGCAGAAAGAAAAACTTCTTGTCTTTTTCTTGTCTTGGATAACTGAGAGTCCACATACCGAAGTAATGCTTGAACACATTCCAGAAATGACAACTCTATTTTCCATCAGTTTTATGATTAAAACCAATACGTCAGGTCAGTGCTGTGACAAATAGATGTCAGCAGATATTTACACATCGTTTAGAAAGATCACAGGGCCACTTTTCAACTGTTTCGTTAAGGAATCAGATTGTGGTGCAGAGTATCAGGTATAACAGAAGTTTGTCCCGCAGTCTGCCATTTCTCTTTGCTCAAATCACAACAATATGAAGTTCCAAATTACATCTGCAGCATTTTTGCTGTTACGGTAGTTGTTTTTTCTCCCAGAACAATCTCAAAAATGTTACTGGAAAGAAGCAGTTTCTAGCAGGTGGTGCCATCATGTACAAGGGAAAGTCATCTAAGAGCTCAACATTTTTTTCTATATGCATAATTTCTAATTTCCACATGTCCGCAATGTTAAATGTTAGGCTCAACACTTAAAATATTTTGCCAATAAATCTGTTTGAATGAGTTTTAAGATTCTAGTTTGTCCCAATTGCTACTAGGAAATGCTAATAAAATTTAGGAAACTTTCTAACATTTGTTCTGGACAGAAAGCTACAACTGTGTATTTTTAACACAGCAAATAGAATATAATCAGTTATATATGTTTTACTGTATGAAAATTTATATTCTGGATATATGAATTTCTGTGAAGTACAAAACAATCTCCATTCCAATATTACTGACCTACTTCGCTTTTCTTAAAACCCGAAGTCTGAAAATCAGCAAATATCCAATAAATGATGTCATTTACTAATACATTTACACTAATGTCTTTTATTAGAGGTAATTTAATTCTAGTTAAAATCTATCTTTGACGGTCTGTAAAAGAAAAAGCTCCAGTGATATGTATTTGCTACAATAAATTAAAATTGTCATCAGTTTCATAGTTGCCATCAGCTGAAAAAAATTATGAATATTTCTCAAAAGTTAGCTCACAGAAACCAGCTTTCACAATGAATGATGCAGTCAGTGTGTAAAATGCATGTAAGGAAAATACATTTATAATCACACAGTAAGTGAGCTGAGATATAGAAGATGCCTATACTAGAGATCTCACAAAATCATGGCAATGACCCAGGAAGTTCAGTAATCATGTGGAAACTTTCTTTCATGAGGTGTGTGTTTATGAGTATACATGTGTTTTGCTATTTTCCTTTCCAGTTAAGCTCTTTCAATGCTGCCCCAAATTGTGCTCCAGTGTATAACATTCTTCAAAGGCAGCTTTTAGGGGAAAGGACTGCAATGGGAAGGAAGGGCAGAAAACCCTCGGCACGCATATATCAGCTTGATTACGGATTCAGGCGGCAAACTGTTCCAACTTAAAACATTAACAGGTATATCTAATCAGCACAGAAGAGATGGAGAAATGATGCACACAATATACAGGGAAAAAAAAGGATGAAATAAGTATGAGAAAGGGATCTTTGTTCAGTCAGTCAGCTACTTCATAATGATTTACTTTTTTATTTTGGTCTCCAAGTTTCATTCCTTCACTCTTTTTTTAAAAAAAATGTAATGTGAGCATTGTAAAATTTTATAAAATGTAATGCATATTTAGCTAAGAAACTATAAAAGAAACTGAAAAGCAATTTAAGAAGTAATAAATATTTTTTGTGTATGAACAGTTTTTTATAGAATAGAGACAAAGTTCAGATGCATAGGAGAAGGAGTTTCGGTTATAGTTCAGTTTGATTTGGGGTTGAAATCATGAAATTAGTACTTGATAAAGATTACTACAAAAGTACCCATGAACACTCAGAAGCTGTTATATTTTAGCTAAAGTATTATTTCCTTTGTAAGCAAACACAAAAGGATATTGCATGGACACATTCTAAGGAACACACACAATACAGTTATTGGTAAAATTTACAGAAAAGGTACTTAACATAGGAGATATGTCTATGAAAAAGAAATCTAAGAAATTGTGGTATTTTAGAGATATTTATCAGAAAGCCCTCATAGAGTAAATATGTGAAAGGCTAGCTGCGATCACAACATCAAGATGCACTTAAGTTTCAGAGATACTTTGGAAGGTGAGCAATTTTTCTATACTGCATTTTCCTTCCAGATCATCCTGCTAGAAGATCCTCATCAGTAGATGGGCAAATAATTTTCATAGTAATCAACCAGATGCCTGTGGAAGGCTTACAAAAAGAGCACGAAGACAGGAGCCCTCTACCACCATTGTTCCCTAATATGTAACATTTAATGACATATTCTCAGACAGGGTTGATGTTCTGTTGGCTAGATCACAGTAATCCATTCTGAGTATTAGTAGGGTACAAAGAACCCTAGCATGAACTTATCTTTAAAATGGCTGCAGCTAATATATGAGTTTAACAACAAGGTTGAGAGACCTTCTGGGAGTAAAGTATCATTAGCTAAGGAATAATAAAATAAAAATGATTTATTTTTGTTGTAAAGCCAATGGCAAACTCAACAAGGGTTAGGATGCTTGCAGCCTGGATGTTGTCCACAACTGCAAAGAGCCAAGTCCTCAGTTTGTGAGTGCTATAAGATCTGGCCTAAGACATTAATACTATAGTACCCTCCATTTAGTATACCATACGGAATAAATTTTGGAGATGAAATCAGCTAGAGTCATTCATCAAAACCTGGAACAGATAGTAAAAATGTATCTTACCACTTTTTGTTAATAGCTTCATAATCTACCAGTTTACTTCTGGACACATTTCAAGACTGTCTTCAACTTACAAAGCCATATCAGTGGCTTGAGATCAAAGCAACTAAAGAACTGTTGATGTCCATATAAACATTCTCAGTTACTAAGATTAGATACTCTGTCCGGAGGGTACCACTACCTCAGCAAAGTGAGTGGGTGACAATGATCGACATGTCTTTCTAGTTTGTGCCACCTTGATTGTGAAACTTCTTTTTCTTATTCATTACCTTAGTTTCTTCTTTGAAAGTTTTTAGATGCCAGCCAGATGCATTTGCTTTGCACAGGTTTCTGACTCACATTTTCAATACATTAAAAACCATTTGGTGAGCTCATTAAAATAATGCATCCCTTGTTGTTGTTTAACGGTGATTTTTTACAGTTCAATTTAACTATGTTGCAAGCCACTACAAATCACAGCAGACACTAGAGATACATGGTATTTTTAAATAGATAATTTCAGAGTCTTAATTCAGTGACATAACATTCAATTTACATGTAGTGTTCTTTTGAGATTTAATGGTCTGTTTACAACATTCCCATGAAGACAAAGCATGCTTCTACACCAAAAGTGTAAAACCAATAACCAAAGATTCAGAAACTTTATCTAGGCAACTACATCATATAAATATGCATCTATTAGTTTGGATACTATTGTAAGATAACTGCTGCCTACCATTTGCCCAATATGGTGGAAGTGAGTTGTAGAAATCCTTTAGCTTCTACAAAATTCTGCAGTATTTCATCCCTGTGGAATGGTAGCGCCAACCCTTACCTTTTGTATTTTTATGGATATTTGTGTGTATTATGTGCAGTATAAATTGTGTTTCTCCTTTTGAACAGACTTCAAGGATTGCTATTAACAATGTTTGCTACCAGTGTCAAGTTCCTGAATACCTAATTACTGCATAAAGTTGAAAGCACATAGAATTACGAGAATACTGAGGCAATCACCCATAGTAGAACTTCCTGTAGGAATAAAATTGCATGAGTGTACCAGTAATAATTTTCATATTATGTATTTGTACATAAAGCATGTGTGTGATAAAGGAGAAATGTAACATATGTTGTGTCAAGTTTTCAAAAGTTCTTTATATGTGGTAAAACGTGTTCACTTTTACATGTTAAATTCATCAAGATACTTTGTATAATTCTACACCACTCAATTATGCCAAAAGTATGTGGCTAAAACCACAGCAAGATTTAATTACTTACCTTCTTTGGTAGTCCCTCAACCCCCAAAATCTCATCTCACATTAGCTACTAAACACATCCGCTCCTAAGAAGCCATTATGCTCTCTTGAAATGTCAGCAGTTCAGTAACAAACCATAGTGAAAGAGATGTCAGAAATAGGTTGGGGTACCCTCTAAGTATCTTACATAATGAAACTTTGAGAGATGTTGTTGGGATGTGTATACTCATAATTTAATTCAGTTTGCAACCAAAGTGCAATTTATTATTGTTCAGCATTATATATAAAATATATGTTATTTATTTTTGCCATGGATTTCTTTCAGCTAAAAAGCAGCATGTATCATTAATTTCAGTGTTTACACAATCTTCTTCTTCTTCTTCTTTTTTTTTTAGTAAAGTCTGTTTTTTAATGAATTCCATTAAAAAGAAACTACAGCGATTTTCAATTAAGTACCAAGGCTGCAATAGAATAAGGTGACTCTCAGTCATATAGCAACCACTTTTTACATAGCAGTGGTTTGAAATACTGATGGTTCCTTGCTGATTCCAATTATGTCAGGGCAAGGTATAATGCTGAACAATGCACACAGGTTAACCATACGGATTCCTATAGCCTTTGGAAATTCTAAACGAAACTTTTTTGCTGTATGACTTTATGTCATTTCCTACTTACGGCAATGCTATAGCAAGATTTTCTTCACAAGATTTGTTCAGATGTTATCTGCCTTTGCCTCCTATTTTCCTGCTTTTCTAGCAGGGGGTTGGACAAGTCTCTTCCAACTCTATGATTATATGATTCTTTAGGGCTGAAAGTTCGAGTTGCCCATGGTTACCCAGTGGGTTTCCATGGCTGAGTATAGATTTGAACACTGTCTTCTAGAATTGTAGTCCAACACTCAAACCACTATGCTGGACATACTTTAAATATTTGCTGTTAGACACAAATAATATAAAGATAAGGCATCACGCAAACCACACAAAATGTCACAGTTTCAAGTATTTGATTGTGTTTTGCCATTGCAGAAGACAAGTTGCATACTACAGATATAACTGGATAATATATCTGCAGAAAAGCTATATTTTATTTGTTTTGTTTTGCCCTATGTAAGCCATCAGAGAAGAATGTCTGTGCAAATAGTTTCAAGAGATTAAAAAAAATTAAGTACCCACCTAGTTTTGCTTCGGAAGTATCCATCTCCCATTTGCTTTTCGGAATGTAACCCTAAATCATATACAGAGAGAAGCTCGAAGGATTAGAGAAAGATGTAGAAGACATAGCACACATTTTAACTTGCAACAGCATTACATTGCAGACATTTCCTTAGGACAAATTAAATCTCAATTGTGACGTGAGAGACAAGATTTGAAACTGTAAATTACAACAAACTGACATAGTTTTTGTACCAAGAACAACAGGTTAATGCTCAGAAATATTGAAAACTCAATACTACAACACTCTTCACCTGGTTTCTAACAATATTAGTACAAATAGGTATCCCATACATCTCCAAATAGAAAACAGTAATGAAGTACATTTGCCAGGATTCAGAGACAAATATGCAAGCTTTTGCATGTACACCAGAGTTCACCAGACTGAATGAGAACTCTCATGTGCTGCATCAGAATGCCCGTCTTTCTGGAGTACTCACACGGTGCAGCGGAAAAGGGGCTTTTGAAGCCTCGGAGAAAGAACACAAGTCTTACTTATTTGTCTTCAGTAAATGTATACTGTGTATTCCAATAATACATCTCAAATAATTATGAAATTGCCACCTTCTTCAATAGTATGGATACCTGTAACTCAAGTTCACACTTCTTGTGTTAAAAGATATGAAGATCATCTATCAATGAATGTGTAAACCCAGTCCCACGTGTTTCAGTTTAGCCGAGTCATAAATTTCAAGCTATTACATAACATTTATTAATTTATTTACAGCATTTATATTCTGCCCTTCTCATCCCGAAAGGGACTCAGGGCGGATCACAGAACAAATACATGGCAAACATTCAATGCCATTAAATAGGCAGGACAGACAACAGATAGAAGTATATGTTGGCATTTTTCTCAACTTCGGAGTCCTGGAGGTTGTGCTCAATTCCATCCACAGGAGGGTGCTGTTGCTCCATCCTCTATGATGAAGAGCCCTTGATCTCAGACTTCCGCCTTCCTTTGATCGTCAGCATTTTCTGGTATTTCCTTTTTATGGTGCCTAATTTCTTTACTCACACCTCACAGCTGTTTTCAAACTGCTTAGGTGGACAGTGAGCTGGGCTGAAGGTCACCCCAACCTGGGTTCAAACTGCTAAGTTTTCGATTGGTGTGATCTATTGCTGCTTGTGATTAACCAGCTGTGCTATAGCCTGGCCAATTTCTAATTACCAGTCTATGTATTATGCGTACACTACGCTCTGAACCAACACAAGATACATGAACTAGCTAAGAATCACTGAGTAGCCTTGTTTTAAAAAACCACAGAATTCCACCAATAAGCGTTCTTCTCCTCCTGACCATCTGATAACATGGTTTCAGCATTGTAAAAGAGATGATATAAACCTAACCTTGGCTGTTAGTATGAAGCAGTATAGTAATGTGGAAAATATGTATGCATATGACAATCTGCATTGGTTGCCAGTCAGTTGCCCACTTCAATTAAATTTGTTTCCTACTGCTAAAGCCCAACACAGTTGGGTATCTAGTTATCTTTAGGATCAATGTCCACTGAGGTCCTGAAGTCTGGCAGTTGCCTATTAGAAAAGACATTTTGAAGAGTGCCAGAAACTTGGTAAGGATGTGGTAGGCCTACATATTTTAATACTTTATTTCAATGTGTTTTTTTTTCATTCCTCCAATTTGTTCAAATTATTGCTGATATATGTCATGCTTTTAAAAAAGATTCACAGCTGACCACGCAGGGAAATAATAAAATATGGAGTGCAGTCTTCTGAATTCCTGAAAAGCAGTTCCTCTGGAAGAGCATAAGATGCGACACAGTGAGACTGCTCTGAAGAGAACTGTTGAAAACAAGCAATTTCTCTCGCTGTGTACATAAACGTGAGTTCTGATTGTGTAGTAGCACCTTTGGGATCCAAACCACTGTCACTGTAATTTCAATGGCTGGGATCTCATTGTTCCACTATCAAAAGGACATTTTGGGATGTCACATTAGGAGGCACGCAATATCTCCTTGTGCAAACATAGGAGCACATTTTTCTCTCCCGCTACTGCCTTTGTTCTTCTTTTTCTAAGACTGGCCACTGCAAATGTGGAGAAAGCAACCTTGACAACTGCAGCTGCAGGAGGTCTCAGAGCAGGCAGATTGAATATTGGAGAAAGGAGAAGGTATGGATGGAGGAAAGAAGCCCAGTGCTATTCCTGCTCTTGGTGCAGCTGACTTCGAGGTTTTTAAGTTCCGGAGTAAGGTAGATGGGTGGGGTTTTAAGTTACATCAATGTTTCACAATATTTCAGCCACTAAGATTATTGTACAAATAAATTTCTGATAATGACCCCTGGACTACACAGTCAGCTACCTTTGTGTCAATGATGTGGGTTTTTCTGAGGTACAACAGGCAGCAGAATGTTTGTAACATGAGAGAGTCACACATACACACAACATGCAGCCAGTATATCTTTTAAAGAGTGCTTTTCAGATTTCAGGCCTAGAAGTGTTCCAAAGAACCTCTAATAAAATGCAAATTGACACAGAAAGAAGAATGAAGTGAGAACATGTAAGTGGATATTTGCTCTAGACATTGCCCAGTTCTAGAAAGTTCACAAATGTTCTGCCAGTTGCAGGATAACTTGCACTTATAAGAACAGAGACCACAAAGAAGAAACTGCTATTACACTAGCAAATGTCAACCTGAGAGTTATATTTAACTTCTTACTTATTGGGAAATCCTTCTACATTCTTTCATATATAGAAGTCAGTTCTAGTAACTCCTAAACCAAAGACTCCTTTTAAGACTAAACAGAAAGTAGCCACAGTATTAAGGAGAACAGTTTGAGAAACACTGCTATGTACACGTTTCCACTTTAGTGTTTTCTAGAAAACATTAAGCTTTTCCCAAGAATATTTGGCTTTTACAACTTAATTATATTTCCCTTTTAAAAAGAATAAGGTTTTAATTTATAAGAAACAAAATCAGTTACATCTACTGAAGACTGAAGGAATATTGTAATGTACAGTAGTTAAATTAGAACTTGAAATGCAAAATACGCACTGAATGAAAACTGCATTTTAGCTAGTAAAGAAGGATCACAGAAGAGGCTTATTACCTTCAAATCTTGCCTTTGAGCTTGCTATGGGATCTGTTTGGCTACTGGGGGAAACATGATACGGAACAAAACAGGGTTTTAATGTGATCCATCAGGGCCCTTTTAATGGTTTGATGATATAACTTTACTTTTGGAGAAAAAACCTATTTACTGATAAAGGTTCCTGTTATGCAAGGATCTTTGTTCAGAAGATTAGGCAGCAATCAACAGGGAATTTATTCAGCTGTTATTTCAGAAATTATGGCTTAACAGCTATTCCAGCCTGGGGAAACAACTCAAGGACTTGTGAAGCTTTGACTTATAAAAGGGCATAATAAAACTCTGATAAAAAGTTGAAATGAAAACCGGTAAAAACAGAATGAAAGTGACACAAAATGAAAATCAGGACAAAGAAGAAGAATGGGTAAGAATACAGAAAGAACACTGGGAAGATTTGGGCAGTTGCAAAGCCCAAAGACTGAATGGACTTCTTCCTGCTGAACAGCAAAGAACCCCAATGGCATGGCCAGTTTCCCTCTTGGGTTGCAACTGTAGAGATCAGTCAACAAAAGGATTAATTGAAGCAACAACTACAGTCCAGGAAAGGATCATCTACCTAGGAATGAAATCGTATCCTTTTAGTTGTTAGAGACTATCTGCAGAATCTTTTTTTTTTAATCTACTGCCGCTTCAGTATCTCTTTGTGGTATCTTATAAAATTTCAGATTATGGAACTGCAGGTATTCTCTATCTCTGTTTTACTTTAATATGTAGGATTGGGCATCAGTCAATGTAAGGGGAAAACTATTTTCTATCACAAAACCATCTTCTCAGAGAGATGGGGGGAAAGGCATTTATGCCTCAGAACAAGTTTTGAATGAATTGGCTAAGTGTCTTCAATAAACAGACCAGCATTCCAAAATAGATTTGTAGATTCAATACCAGGAACTGGTTCTCAAAATATGTCCACCATGTTCCATACAACCTACTCAAGATTAGGAGACATGTTATGAAATCTTTCCTTTCAATATGATTGGTTAAATGGACATTGCTGGGGTCTGGTAGTCCACTTTTACCAGAAATGTAAGTATAGATACTGAGCTTCCCATTTTTGATGCATGTGCATCCGTGTGATACTTTGAAGATGTTTCAGAACTTGTAAACTCTTCCTGGCTTGTTTTCATTCTGTCTTTCAATGAGTCAAGAGCCAACTCTCAGCAAAACTACACAAAAGGCTTTGATGATCGCATATATGTGAATGGTTCCCAACAAATCAAAGTCTTAGTTTGTCTAGATTTTTAATACTCTCTTTCAGTTCATTTGCTATCTCTGCTAGATTTCCACAAGAGCATTGGTGTGAAATGCTACAGAATACATCACTCCTCTGAGGGAGACAAGCATACCAAGACTTATAAAAGATTGATGTGTTTTCCCAATCCACCTGATGAAAGTGGGTCTGTACACTAAATAAATAAAGAAGTCCAGGGGTTACATAAGTTGAAGAGATTTGTAGAACATTATGTCCTTGCACTTAAAAAACCCCACAGTGCTCAAAGCAAATAATGTCAAAGACATTCCTTCTCTTTGGAGCACAGGTTTGCAGCATATTTCTGCAAATTCATCATGCACATATATTTTCAACATTCCAAGCTCCCACATCAATGGGAGCCTTATTGAAAAACCCATTTTGGTATAAAGCCTTGATATCGAGAATTAGCAGCAACAAATAGTCGTGTAGTACCATAACATACAATATGGTGGGCAAAATCCTTGAGTATGGATTCTTGAGTATGTAAAGTGTTTCACTGTGCAAGTGATTCCTAATAAAATTCATGTGTCCTCAAATTTTACACAATGTACCCTGAAGAACAGCAACAGCACAAATACATAATCTACAAATGTGATTACTGCGTATTTGCTGTACATACACATGCTTCACATCACAATTGTTCAAGATAGTGATGAACAGTTTCGTTTGTTACCCCTAGAAATATTAAAATAAAATGTATTGAAATAAAATTCCATAAAAGTTGTACCCTTTTCAAAATAGAACATCTGTTAAAAAAACACAAGAATGATTTGATCACCTTAAAGCACCATTTTAGCAAGCTGCTAAAATGCCCTTTTGTTCTAGTGTACTGGAGAGAATTAGAACCCAAGGGCATATATATGTGTGTGTCTCTGTGTGTGTTTGTATGTATGTGTGTACAAATAGAAGCAACTTGATATTTCCAGATAAGTTATGAGTTTTCACTCTTGAGATTCTTGATGGCTTATTGGATTGCACTGAGGCCTCAGAGCTGAAAATCCAAAAAGGCAGGAATCCAAAGACTGTCCAAAGAGTTTCATCACATAAAAATAACATTTTTGCTTTTTTCCTTAAAAAAAGGGTGAAACTATTATGCGACGAAACAGAAACCTTTGATGCTGATGCTCTGGTTGCTTTTCTTTTTTAAAAAACTGCCTTACCTCTGAGACAGGAGGAGCACCAAGCAAACAGCTTCATTTCTGTTTGTTTTTTTTTAACTGCCTTGACATGGAAGACAGAGCATCTAGGCTCAAAGAGCTCAGTTTCAGATTTTGTAACTGCCTTGCCTTCAGAGAGAAAAAGGAAGGAAGAATGGAAGGAAGAAAGGAAGGAGAGAAGGAAGGGAGAATCTGAGCCCCAAATGGCTGTGTTAATTACATACGACAATTATGCAAAGAAAGGCTGGAAGCCAAAAAAAGCATGTATGATGATTATGCGATGCCGACTACTATGCAGTGAATTACCGACAGCATGCAGTTGGTAGCATCTGTCTGGATTTTCCTTTCTCTTGAGTAAATTTGTTTCACTTAGGTTGGCCAGAGCAACTTATTTCCTAATCATAGAAATATTGGCTCTGCAACCAAAATGAAACAACCATAATTACCTCAATTATGATTCCTCACATTATTACACCTAAAGCAAGAATTGCTTAAGAGAGTCCAAAAGGTCCACCTAACCAACATGATGTGGGGCAATGACTTCTGATACACTGCCATCACCCTTAACCATAACCTGATGATTCAACGATATGTGAATGTCAGGAATCATGGATAAGCTGGCAATACTCAGGTATGGCTATTCTAATCAATGGCAGTCAGTTTACCCTCTTCTGCGGAGTACATTTTTTATTACTGCTTCAAGAGCTTGATGTGCAGAAGATGTTTTCTGATATGCACATGAGAATGATGCCTTTGGAATTGTGGAACTTCCCTGATAGATCATTTGTGCAAAAAACCAAGGAATAGCATCCAGAACTTTTAACTGGTCTTGCTTTATCTTGTAGAAGGATCTAGAACAAATGTCATTGTGTAGTTATAAAGTCCACAAAATCATTGGTGACTGCAGACTTCTATAAGAGTAGAAGAGTTGTAGCCACAATCCATCTCTCTTTAAAAAGGCCTTTACTTGGTGGTCATCTGCTTCCCTCTTGGTTTTGTTCTTGTCTTTATTGAACAGAAGGATACATCAACTTGAAAAGTTGGCGGTTTTTTGACCAAGAAGGCTTGGGCCTTCTAGCCTCTTTGAGAGTAAAAGATATAGAGTCCACATCTTTAGCATAAGGAAAAGAAACACCCTTTGCTTTCTTCTCTGCTTTCTATTTCACCAGGATTGATTTAATACTTTATTTAGAAAATGAAGTTGTGGTTGAGACTATGTTCCATTTTTTATACTTCTTAGGTTTATCATACTGACTAATTACAGCACAGAAATTTCTATATAGCATCTTTGATCAGACTAGGCTGGATTTTTCTTTGCTTCAATCATTTTTTTCTCGTTTCAAGAGCCATACTGTCTTAAGGCAAAGTTCACAGCTTTCAAACTAGATTGCAGGAGATGAAGTCCTAGATGGAAGCTTTGCATCTGCCATCTTGGAAGAATCTGTACAGAGCGCCTTTGTAAATGTTTTAACCACTTGGACTTCAGTTGATCTCAATCTGGATCTCATTGGTTCCAAGGTCCGGAGACCATCTTGATGGATCCAAAAAGAATCTCATTTCTTCCCATTAACCAGAAAAATCTTCATTTTCTCTAAAATATCTACCCCTCTCAAAATAGTCTTCAGAAAACCCGAGAGACTACAACTGTGGCACTTTTCTGCTCTTCTCCATCAAGGTATCAAATGAAGTAAGAAGGGCAAAGATCAGGAGTCATCCAAGAAGAAGCAGGTGGGCTGTACATCAAACCTATTCTAATGTTTACAAAAGCTGGTGACACATGAAGATTACTTTTCCCTGCTATAACATTTGTGATTACGAGGAAGTTGGCTTTGTTCTCTGCTGGAGTTCCAAGGCAGTTATGCCCTCCAATGAGAAGGTAGAACTGAAACTTGAATCTTCTATTGGAGAAGTGTCATGTTTGTAAACACTCTTGAATGAATTAAAGAATAAATTAGTGTTTCACTGATTTTTTTCATCAGTTAAATGTAATTGAAGTCCCAAAGTTCGTGACGTTTGGAATCCTATGTGCACATTTATATAAATAAGCCACACTGGTGCTTATTGCTAACTAAAAGTGCACAGGATTATGCTATAAAAGTATTAATGACATTTAGAAAAAACAATTAAAAGAGTTATGACATCTGCAAAATGACAATACAGTTGCCCCTTCCTATATTTAAAATTTCATAGAAAATCTCTCTACATCACTGGAAAACATTTCAATTTGAACTTTTCCAATGGACTAAGATTCAACTTTAAGCATTCTCAAGACATACTGCTAGCTCTATTTCTACTAACAGAAAATGTAAGAGAAAGCTTTAACTGGACTCATCTAAGACTAAGTGTAGTATTAAAGACTTCTCAAAACTGTGAAGAAATTATTGAATGGTAATTCATATATCTCATGCTCTTATACTGGGTAAAATGGCAGAAACAGGAAGGGTAAAAGGGGTGCTTTGGTGAAAATAGCTGTATTTAGTGCAGACAGCATCCCTGTTAGTCACAGTAGTTATAAATACATTTGATGCTAAGGCAGGTTGATGTGTTTCCCTACCAGTTCACTTTCTTCTTCTTCTGCATCCTTTTTGTTTTCTTCTTTCTGATCTTCAATGTTGGCATCAAAATCTTCCATTTCCACCTATGATAATACAAAAGACACCTCAGACAACCAAAATATTACCTCAAGTATATAAAATCTACACATAAAATCTCCCCGTGAAAGACGCTTCAACCGTGACAATGCACTCAAAAAACAGACACAAATTTTCTGGGATTTACTTAAAGATATTATAGATAACATTTCATGTTTTTGTATTTTAGACTTTATTCATTTTTTAACTCAGAGGAAGAAGACATTTTCACCTTGCTTTTTTTTACAAGTATACATTCACTTACATCAAAAGATATGATAATATTGACCTTTTTGGATTCAAACAACCTTGGCTGCCCATGCACAGAAAAATCCCATATGTGCAATTTCACAGACACCATGATGAAGAAACATTACTCATGTACTAAATGTAAACATATGTATTTTCTCATCTACATAATATGTAGCGCACAACTGTAACAGAATGAAACCCATTACCGTAATACTATCTTCCAGAAAGTAAAGATCTTCATTAATTTTATAAGATTTTTTTGACTCTTGGAGTGCTTCTATACTGTAGAATTAATGCATTTTGACACCACTTTGCCATGCCTGAATGCGATGGATTCCTGAGAGTTGCACTTTTATAAGGTCTTTAGCTTTCTCTGCTGAAGAGTGCTGGTGCCTCACCAAACTACAACCTTCAGGATTCCATAGCACTGAGCCATATGGTGTCAAACTGCATTAATTCTACAGTGTAGATGGCCCCTTTCTTAAACTACGGCAATTTTCTATGAGTTCTCTCATAGGAATCATGTGACTGCTTTAATATTTAATAATTCTTCCAGAGTATTAACAATTCCCACATATTATCAATTCCCACATTAGTAGTGTTCTACTTTAATACAGAATTCACGTTTCTTTTCCAGCTACATGTATTTATATGGTTAAATTAAGATTCTTAAAAACCTTACCTCTTCAATAGCAGCATCTTGTAGTAAAGAGCGAATATCTAAACGCATCATATGACGAGGTGCTGTCTCCCAATGGTCAGCCATCTGAAAATGGGAATTAAAGATGCTTCTACAGTATACATTTTTTTCAGAAGACAATTATTGCTTTGGTTAGGAATTTGAAATTTCTCTGAATATAGACAGATAAAATTTTGACATGTGTGTGTATGCAGAGGTGTTCTGTAACACTTCTAAGAGTTTGTTCATGACACTTTGCTATCAACTCAATTACCATCTTTAGTAAAAAAAAGTCTGAATCAGACTTTTTATGGATGATTAAAAATATGCAAAAGAAGAAAACTCACAAGGTAATTTGACTATTAAAATAATTATTGCAACTGACCAATAAAAGTCTCCTATAAGAGAAAACACACTTTGTCCAAATAAGGTTCTTTGAATCATGAAACTCTTAGTCCAGTGTTTACTGTTATTCTTTTCATTTTCGTTCTTTTCTTTCTTGTTTTTTTCCCCTTCATTGTTCATTGCTGGACTGCTTGTGTTAAGTACATAAATGCTTTACACTTCCAGTGTTCTATTATCACTTGTACACGAGCGAACAAAATGTTCAATAAAAATAACAAAAGTAAATATTATAATCTTTCAAAAATCACTTCATAAGAGATCCCCCTAGTGTTGGTAGCATTTAGAGATGTGGTGCTTTTGCATCTTTATAAACTTACCTTATTAATTTCCTTGAGTTTGCGTCCATGAACATTTCTCTTACAACAAGTCTGGTGGTCGGCAGTTATTTCAGCCAAGTAAACCTAAAATGCAGGAAGAAATGAGAATCTGCTCAAAATCAATATCACAAGGTGGAAAATAAGATCAGACATGAACCATTCAGACATGAACAGCAGGCATGGCTGTGGGAGTCTGTAAGAACTTTCTCCCTGTCCACAAAGCAGACAGAGAATGCGATCACTTGATATAGATATTCATAGTTCAAAGTCACTCAAAGTCTGTTTTATAGGTGCTAATCACAAGAGGAATAATCCATGAATGTTTACCTCAAATCCTTTTGTTTTTGCAGCACTCCAGAATTGCTCGAAGTGGCGTACTCGATCGTTAATGGCATCAAGAATAATAAAGGGAAAGAATCCATCATCCAAAGTTTTTTTGAAAGTTTTGAATAAGCTGGCACGGTAGATTTCTTCCATATCAGCTTCAAATTCATACTCCAAAACCTGTTAGAGAAAAGTGCGTTTAGGAACATATTGCTGGGAGTTTCCTTAGGAGTTCTGTAGGAGCATTCATGATCACAAAAACAACCTTGGACCTATCCTGGAGTAGTCTGAGCACCAAGTTTTATTTAGTTTTGTGGTCTTGACTAAATGACAGTCTGAGGGCAATTGTATTCTCATGAACCAATTATTAACTGATATGTCTGTTGGCATTTTCCAGCATTTGCATAGGTAAGGGGACCACTTGCTCTACCCTCAGTGCCAGGTGGATCCAAATGGGAGTTGCAGTTTAAAAAAATCTCTGGAGGCTGAAATGAGACTTTCTGAAAGCTCATCTTAGACCCTTGATCCCTCTGGATTACATATATCTAAATAGGTCACATATCTTAGTGTTCTATGAGTATGCTTGCCTATCTTGACTGATGATGTCAAGGCAACAAGGTAGATCTGCTTGGATTATGAAGTGGTAAATGCTCTACTGAGAGTGTGGTTCTCAAACCTGCTTTGAGAGAGTCATTTTTGAGACCACTATTGAAAGGGACCCAACATTTTTCCACTCATTGGCTAGTCTTGAGTTCCACTTTTTTCATTAGTGTTGGAATGGGTGAGAGTAACATAGCTACTTGGAATTACTGGAGAATAATTATTTCTTTCTCTCCACTAATTATATCTTCCACCTAACGTTTGGATTAAAATGGTCTGTGGAGAAGAGTGATGGGGTAATGATTCCTTCAGGACCAGCCGGAGGTTTTCAGTAGTATCAATTGTGGTAATCTTCTGGATCATTTATTCAAAATGGAAATTGGTATCACAATCTAGTGACCTTCCATGCGCATCTAATAATTGTATTCTAAGGTGCAGTGCTAGGAGCTTCCTAGTTAGCTCCTTATTTCCTATGTCATGGATTTCTACTGTTTTTCTGCCTGTCCACCCCCAGTGCTGTTTCACTGGGAATGATTATCCAAAGTTGGGTGTCATTAGCATGTAGATGACATCCAGATCACACCTCCATTTTCAGTTAATCCTCATCAGTTCTATAAATTAGGTAGTAGTTGCAGTACAAACCAAGCCCTTCTAGAAAGACTATTATTTCTTTTTCCTAAACTTCCTTTTATTATTAGTGATCTAGGATTGTCTGCATGCTCTACCCCCTCTCCAAAATTTCTATCCTGGTTATATCCTGGTCCCGCCCAGCATTATTTTTTAAATTTTTAATTAGTACATTTGGCCCTGCCATAGGTTTTTAAACGTTGTTGTGTTATTGTTAATGTTTATTGCTATTTTCTGTTTATGAGTTTTATTTATTGTTTGTATTACTGTTGCTATTGTTTTTATTGTTGTATTGTGGTTTCGGCCTCATGTAAGCCACATCGAGTCCTTGGGGAGATGGTAGCGGAGTACAAATAAAGTATTATTATTATTATTATTATTATTATTATTATTATTATTATTATTATGCAGCACCTTTCTGAGAAGTCCGTTAACCTAATTTAATTGACAAAAAGAATATAAATAAAAAAGTACCTTCTTTTTTACTCTTTTCTTTGTATCAGGGTCTCTCTCTTCTTTTTCTACTTCAGTAATAAAATAATCATCCAAGCTGAGTACTCTGGGAGCAGCTCCTCCACATTCTACTTCCTTATCCTGGGGAGGAAACAGAAAATAAAATTAGTTCACATTGCACATGCAAGTATTCAATCTTGGGGCATACGAAGCCTTAGACAGAACCGGCTCCAATTAGTTAGAGAACATATTGTTTTGATCCTTTCAGTCAACCCAGCTGCTATGCTTTGTAACATTGGAAAAGAATACCCAAAATATGTGGGTTTGTGCTCTAAACTGAGAAATAAAGAAAACTGTAAATACAGATGGCTGAGAGCAAAATGTACAGTAATTAAGTTCTACTCTTCAGTAAAATATTGATGACATAAAGAAAAATGCTGGTTAGTGACTCACCCTGATGAGCTTTGCAACATGAGTTTTTCCACTGCCTGGTAATCCTCGCATGATAATGACAATCTAAAACAAAGATCACATAAGTGAAAGCCTGAACACCTACTGAGTTGAATAATGAGCGTGCAATGGAGTGTCAAAATACAGACAAACTATAACTCAACTTTTTGTAACCTCTTTCGTAAGACTCCAAAAAATGAAACCAAACATTGCCATATTATCAAGGTAATGGATAGTGATTCACATGATTGTTAAGTCCAAATTACATATGTGTAAGTCTTTTGTTGTTTTGGAGACTGGCATTCTCTGCTGACCTCTCACAACTAAATTCCTTCCCCAATATCACATTTTATCTGTTGCAGGCCTCCCTCAACATGGTCAGTGGGGAAACGGCAAAAAAACATCCAAAGTTTGTATGTTTTGTTTCTTCTTCTCATGTATCACAATAAAAATTTGTATTTTTTTAAAAAGAAACATCTTACAGTTGGATGTAGAACACTGAAATTATCTGCTGGGTTCTCTGAAGAACCCCCAGGAGACCGCAAATAATGGCTCAACAAAGTGTATCCCAACTTCTGGAGGAGTGGATGAAGAGTGGTCTGTAGGCAGCATGTTGCCCCAGCGTTTTTGTGGACTGTAGGACACCCCAGTGGTGATTTTTGCCCCCAAATATGGCAAAAATGCTAGTTACAGCACATAAGAGAGCATTGGGGGTACATTTATAGGTATTTTTTTTACAGTGTATGACGTGGAGGTGATGTTCCCAAAGGTGCCTTATATGTTGCCCATCTCTGAACTACAGGAGCTGAACTACTCTGAACTACAACTTATAGCACAATACTTCCTTCCTACCTACATAGTCTCCACCAGTCAGTAATTGGCTGGGTGGGCAATAGGTAAAAGGTGGATTTGGGGAGGGGGGTAAGGAAGAAGGTGTAATGTAATTCCAGCCAATGGACTTTACCCTACATTTCCTTGCTGCAGCATATCAGCTAACACTGGACTAGATTTCAGATCCATATTGCCATAACGCCTAAAACTTCTGCATTAGTCAAAGTCAACAAAAAAGGAGTTCTATTTCAGGAACCCAGGGATGTCAACACTATTTACACAATGTATTGTCAAAGACTTTCATGGCTGAAATCACTGGGTTGTTGTAGGATTTAGAACATGGCCATACAGTCCGAAAAACCTACAACAACCCACTATTTACACAGTATTTTAACACTATTTATATGCACACTATTTATTTAATTATTTATTTATGATATTTCTATCCCGCCTTTCTCAAGCCTGAAGGCGACTTAAGAAACTACCGGAAACTTGACAATTTATTCATTTTTATTCATTAAATGTTAAATGAAATATTTATTACCATCCTACAAAACACGTTTTCTGGGTGACTTACTATAAAATAAACCTAAACAATTTAAAATCAAATACAAAAACACATTTGAAAACTATACTGAACAACTGAATTATTCAGATGTTACAACATGTTTATTGGATGACACCATTACGTTACAAAGGTTTTAATTTCAACTTGTGCCCCAATTGATGTCGCAAAACTTCTGTGCATGCCTAGTAAACTTTTGTTGAGTTTAATGAAAAGGAGAACCATTAGCTCTGCCCTTTTCTCCATGCAGAGTCCAAACGAATCCTAATTCTCCTTAAGGCCAAAGGATAAACGACCCTGCTTCTTAATTTTTGACATGCAGATATTTGTTGATAGAATTTAATGCAACATTAAATGTTGCAACCATTGAATTCAGCTAACAACAAAGAGGCATCTTAGAAGAAAGAGAAGGCTCAAGTGGATGGCAATTCTCTTTCTTTGTGACTCAACCAATGAGGTCCCTATGTGAGTGTTACTTTCATAATTACAGCACCTTTACTGAGAGGCAAATGAGACAGAAGATTAGTCGAACTAAGCAGAGACACATAACACACAGAAAAAAGAACTGAATCCATATTTATTGCATATCTTTGCTGAAATCTAATGCACTTTGATATGTTTGTCCAAGACTGAAAGTCATGGGATGCTACTTCAGGAAATTAGGCTAGTATAATATACCTTCTTTCACAGCTTGTTGCTTAAGATTAGAAAACCAAATTCCCAATACGTACCCTCTCTGGTCTACTTTCCCGCCCAGGTGGCTTCAGTATATCATCCACATTTTTAGATTCTGGTTTTTTTTCTACACGAGGGGCAGGTGGTGGCTGTCGAGGTATTGGTGGAGTGGAAAGAGGCATTCTATCCTCAGGGTAATTTCTCCGGTCACCTGAACACAAAGTTTACATAAGAATGGAAAAAGAAAATTAGATTTGAAAACAGTATTCTGTGGCAAGATCATAGATGGCTCCCTCTCCCCAATAAGATGTTTTGGCAATTTAAATTTTCTAACTAAAGAAGTTCTGTTAGTCCATTTCCAAATAATTTTTACAAATTACAACAAAAATAAGCTAGCAGAGGATAGCATGTACAATACAGATACACTTCCCCTTCAGCTAGATTTCTATACTAACATTTTCTATAGCCAGGAAAGCCATTTAATGTTTGTTCCAGAACAAACTGGATTATACCCTAAGTTTGTTTAAGGCCTTGGGCAGACAGGATTTATGAGGCACTTAAGTCTATTTGGAATGTGATCTAAACAGCACATTTTTATTGTATAATAACTAATGATCTCGACCTGGAAAATGTAATTAAGTTGTTTGAGTTAGGGATACACACATTGAGAATGGGCCTGACAGGAAAAGATCCTTAACTCACAAGACACAGAAATCTCTCTATAGCATTGCTTAACTTTGCTTCAAATGACAACTTAACATAATAGAATTCTGTCCCAGAAAAGACTTGATTTTGTGAACTATATGTATTATGCACATTAAATGCATATGAATATTTTTGCATAATTTGCAAACATTCTTCTATCTAACTGGCAGTTTGAAGCCCTGCTTTCAGCCCTTACTGGCTTTGACTTATAGCAACCCTATGAATGAGAGAACATGAACCCTGCTCGAGTCTTATAAACTTAGGGCCATGGCTTCCTTTAATCAATTCATCCGTAACATGGTATTTCTCCCCCTTTTTTTTTTTACTGTCATCTGCTTCAGCAAAAACTATAATCTTTTCCAATTGAGTCATGCTGGATCAATCAAGCTGGCAGACTACACTTTCTTCAAGGTTCAAGAATTATACCTCCAAACATGGAATGCCCATGATCATAAGGCGGACGATCAGGTTTCCTCTCATATGGCTGCCTTTCAAATCCTCCTTTCCTTGAGTTTGAATAGTCTTTGTCACGGTAAGACTGAGTTCTTGAAGGAGATGGCCTACCACATGGAGACAGTATTTTGTTAACACATACAATAAGAATGTACACATTATGTTGTATACATTATGAAAACGTATACAAACCCTCTAATCATCGAATTCCTAGCCAAACTGATATGCTACTACTGGACACAAGAAAGAGACTCTTGTATGCACACACCTAGCAATACAAGAGATAAGAAAATGTTCTTGGAATCCAGAATTCCCTTCTACCCCATTAAAAAAATTTACAAACATGTTTCCAAATAAGCAGCCCTTAGGTACTCTACAATTGTAAAACAGTTTATTATATAATCATATGCTTTACAGCAGCCCAATAGTTGTTGTTGTTGTTGTTATGTGTCCTCATGTTGTTTCCAACCTATGGCAAAACCTAATGAGACCCTCTCACCACACTTTCTTGGCAAACATGTTTTTCTGAAGGTAGGACCGGTTGTTTATTTTAAAATATGAGAGGTGGAATTTGACTACAGGTGGAAGCTGCAAGTTGTCTGCCCCTGAGATAAATCTAAGTAAGGTAAAACACCACATATGGTGGTGTTGGGAGAATGTCTACTCTTGATGGCTCCTTCTACACCAGTGGTTTTCAACCCATGGGTCCCCAGTTGTTTAGGCCTACAACTCCCAGTTTATCAGCTGTTATGACTTCTGGGAGTTGAAGGCCAAAACATCTGGGGACTCACAGTTCTATACAGATCTACACCATTATGTGGGGTTTTTTGGCTCTCAGAATGGGTCCAAACCTTGGGACTAGTGGGCATGCTTGAAAAAAATCTAGTTTACAGTTTCATCAACAGTTCTTTTAAAATGATGCTATGATGCTGAGATATACAAACAATCTCATATTTAGATGAGACAATGTTGTAAAAACCAAACTACAGGCAGTTCCTGGGTTACGACAATTAGGTTCTGTTTGTTTTTTCTTAAGTTGTATTTCTACGTAACATGGAATAGGTACGTTTTGAAAGTGTAATTCCAACAAATTTTGTATAATTTTGGATAGCATAGGGAAGGGGTAGTATCCCCTTGTAACTTTTGTTTTGCTGTCTGTGCCCATTAAGAAGATTTCATCTCGCTTTCTGTCCCTCTAACAACTGGATTTTGAAAATGTTGGCTTGTCATGGAAACAAGGATTGGTGATAAACCTTTAGCGGAGACATCTTCTCCACATGATACTTCTTACAGAAGTTATCATGTTATCATCCCCTCTTCCTGGGAATAGATTTCCTCTCACTTCCTGTTGTCTCGGGGATTGGGGTGAGATTAAATCTTTCTAATAAAGATACAGACAGCAGTAAAAATCTCACAGTGTCTCTGACCCCACACCATATTAACCATAACTTTAAAAAAATACAGAGTTCTACCTAACATGCAACTTGGACAGATGTTTGTCTTAATGTAGTATTTATTTTTATCTGTGCATGTAAATGCTTAAAAAATTTCAAATACTCCAAAAGGCCTGATGCATGCTGCTGGCTGAAGCACCCACTTCTGGGCCCAACTAGTGCTGACATCCTCCAATAATCATAACTAGGAGTTGTTTCTAACTTGGGGACTGCCTGTATTCAAAGAATCTAATTTGCTAGCCCCTCAACAAGACTACTACCCTTAGTAGTAGCCAGCAAACAATGACTGACTACCAAACCAGCATTTATGAACTTCTGTGTGTTGAATAGTATTGCTAGCAGTGGATTTTTAAAAATTATTTATGTATTTAACATTACATCAAAACCGTCTATTTTCACATAAGCCTATGTTACTATATTTGAGTCTGTATGATATAAAATGTAAATTGTAGCTAGTGTAGTGTAGAGGGTTTTGAGCACTGGACTACAATTCTGGAGATCAGGACTTGGGACTCCCCAGTTGGCCATAATGACCATAAGCAAGTCACTATCTCTCAGCCTTAAATTCCATCTGAACTAATCTTGTCAAAAAAACCCTCATTATAGGTTCACCTTAGAGTAGCTGTAAAATGGAAATGACTTGCAGACACACAACAAAAACAAATAAACATAAACCCGCCCAAATTAATAACTTTAAACAATAATGCTGAATGCTCTCTATGGGGAGACACTTTTGCATCAATTACTTCTACACTATGTACCTATCTTCTCGTGGATAGCGTTCTTTGTCAAATCTTTCCCGTTCATGCTCTCCAGAAATACGTTCCCTAAATGGTTCTCGTTCTCTCCTGAAATCTCTGTGATCTGAAGTATTATTTTGCCGCTCAAAATAATTTTCTCTTTCCTTCATGTATCGATCTCGTTGGCTTGGATGTTCTGAAAAAACAAAAACTTAATTATTTTAGAACTGTCCTGCAACTAGACACAAAATAAAAGCAAAGTTGTTTCCTCATATTAAATATTCCCTTCAAGAAAATTATTTAATTATAGATAAGACTATAAAACTCTTTCTGCTGTTTTCTTACGTATAGGATCTTAAAACATATATGAGGATATTCAGAAAGTGGCGTCCCCCCTGCACTGTCATGCAGAAGAATCTTGAATTCACCAAATTTTTATCTCTAGAATATCCTAACTAAATATTTTTAAAACCCCAAAGCTTTGGGAAGTATTTAAATCATCTTTGTTACAAAACCAAAGAAGAATGCTACTAGCATTAGCAAAGATATACTCACCTTTTGAAAAGGACTGTCTTTCATGAGGAGGTTCTGGACGTAGAGTTATTCGTTCCCCATAAGGAATATGTCCGCCTTTATTGGTGCTAATGTCTGTTAAATATAAATTGGCAATAATATAAGTAAAGATTCCTTTTTTCAACACATTTATCATTTCTTTATAAAAAAATAAATGCTCCAGAGAAGAAGACAGCTATCTGCTATTTAAAATATGACCTACAGCAATCATTTAGGTTAGGTATGGGCAAACTTTGGCCCCTTGGAAGTCCAAAACACCTGGAGGGCTGAAGTTTTCCCATGCCTGACTTAGATCAAAAAAGTTAAACACAATATGAAGATTCCATGTTTTGCCTTACTTCTAAATATTTAAAGACATAAGGTTAATCTGGACAGTATGCAAATGGAACTAGTAACAACTTTCAGGCTAACCAAGAGTAACAAATTGATAGCTTAAACTTTCACAAACTTAAGTCTGTTTGACCAGATGCATGAAGTGAAATGTCTTGGAATAGACCCTGATGAGCAGGCTATATGTGTGAATAGCAACAGAAATTCAATCTTGGGGGTATGGTGACAGTGGGTTGAAGAGAGAGAATGGTTCGCTGCCATTTTACTCAAATTATAACTGTAAACAACACCCCAGCCTCACGAGGGTTCCCTTGGCCAGTTTGTTATATTTCCTTTTCGGTTCATATCGAGCATCACATTACAATCCAGTAACTACTACTACCACTACCAATGGTATTCACTACCACTGAATAGGTAATCATAAGATTACCTATTCAACTTGGCTTTAGACAACATTTTGCCTCATGCCTTTATTTCCCTAGGATTACCATTGAAACTGGTCACCTTATCAATATATCAAGGTTTGCATTTCTATTGCTATTCACACAAACAGCCTGCTCATAAAGGGGTTTTTTTTGTATATACTTCACTCCTAGCATCTATAAAAGCTTATGTTACCAACTTGTTGCTCTCAAGTCTCAAAGATGATACAAAGTTCTTTTGTTCATGAAGATTTCATTAAAGTGAAAACTAGACAGCTAAAGCTCTTGAGAAAATAACTATATGGACAAAAACTTCTTACCAACAGTGCAATTCATTCACAATGAATATTTTAGTTTATAAAAGTAAAGCAGAAGTAGCCAATAAGATGTCTTAAGCATATAGCTGTATTTGACCAAGAGCAGCCATAGCCTTCCAAGTACTACCTACTTTGAAAGAACTGAGAATGGGGACACACCTACATGGACAGGAGACCTTAGGGCTAATGCGGAGGGAGTGCTACCAGAACCAGGTGAAGCCTTATTGTCCACCTGCGCCCCATTGTGGAATTCCAGACAAGAATCAATCAGGGCTAGGTAACAAAGGAGGAAACCACGACAATAAACAAAATGTGGCTACCAGTATTAAAAAAACCCTCTAAAATCAAAACAGTAAAAAAAGAGCAACATTCAAAAAGGAGGGGAATTCCAGTCAAGAATCAATCAGGGCCAGCTAACACCGTCCAACAAAGGATCCACCTAGGCAGCAACCAGCCAGGATTTGAAACTGCATCTTCCTCCCGCCATCAGTACCATGCTGCTTAATTCTAATTGTAAGGCCGTTTGTACATAGGTGTTGATGGCCTTCTCCTTGCAAATAAGACACACAGTGAATATATGCTGTTTACTACTGGTTAACACTTTAGGGAAGCATTCCTCGAACACAATGTTTGAAAGGGAAATGCCAGCTGAATCCAATAGGGTCTGGGTGAATTTCGAGGGGAGTACCTTCCTATTTCAAAAAAAAAGTGTAACAAGAACTCTTTCTCAGTTAAGTAAGAAATGTCAATAGATAATTAAGATAGAAAAGTGAAGGGTGTCAGACTTAACATCAATGTCCCTGCATCCACATCAACCTTACATTTAGAATACACAGAATGAAATTTGCTGTGTTCCTTTAAGACAACGGTTTCTTTTCATGTTTAATAGGTTAAGTAGCATTAAGTAAATTTAACACATTTCACCTTGGCCATGACTGTGTCCATGTCCATAATCAACTGTCTGATGAACAACTGGTGGCTTGGAAAACTGTGCCATTCCTGGAGCAACTGATGCTGGGATTGTTGAGGACGACAATGAGGGACCTGATCTAAAAGTGTCATACTCTAATTTTAAACCTTTATCTTCACTGATATCCCAAAGTCCCTGGAAAGAATCTTCATCCCAACGCTCCTGGTTCCTGCCGGGTGATGACTTTATTGCAGGACCTGCAACATGTGTAGGTGCTGCAGTTGACATGAGAACTGGAGCATTTGGCTGTGTTGGTAGAGCGGCTTGTTGGAGAGATTTTGTAGTTGGAATAGATGGCATCATAACTGGGCCAGAAGGCTTTGCCATTGAAGTAGCTGACTTGGTTATTGGCATCTGGCTTGGGGTAGGCTTCTGAAACAAGACAGGTGATTTTATAATTACAGATGGAGTAACAGGCTGCTCAGCCTTATTTACCCAAAGGGGAGCAGAGAAAAGGAAACTTGTAATTAAAAGATATATAAACTATCAGGCCCCATCTACACTGCCATATAAAATCCAGATTATCGGCTTTATACCAGATTATATTACTCTACACTGTCATATAATCCAGTTCAAAGCAGATAATCTGGATTTTATATGGAAGTGTAAAGGGGGCTCAGTCTTTGTGCAAGCATGTCAAGCTAATCCATGATTTAGATCAACTTGTATTAAGAAGGAAGAGAACAAAGCAAGTCTAAGGTTGAAACAATCCTTTCTCCCACCTGGACAGAAGGGAGAGTTTCTTTTTAAACTGCTATTTGTTATCTGGGACAACAAAGTAATATCAGCATTAACTTAAGTTTGAAAACAAGTCCATATTGAAGAATGCTTTCTGTAGCTGTTTTGTTATTTTAAAACCCCCATAGTTTGTTTAGTTAACTGTATTCTAGGTCCAATGGATAAGGACTGAAATAGCCACCATGTTGAATTCAAAGATCCATTACTCCAACACAACAGATAGACACATACCCTTCCCCATGATGCTATAATTTGGTGGTTTATCAGCTTTTGTTCAATTTTTTTTTATTATTTGGAATATTGAACTGACTTCCACCAAGACTGGCTTACTGGCATTAAGGGCCAAAATAGTTGGACATTTTTTTGCCTCTGCCCTGTCCACTACTGGAATGTATCCTCAGAAAGAACATCCCTGAAAATGATTTCAGTCCTTGGCCAAAGAGAAATTTGCAGTCATGCTGGTCACATCACTTTGGAGGTGTCTATGGACAGTGCCTGCTCTTCGACTTAGAAATGGAGATAAGCACCACCCCCCAGAGTCAGACTCACCAAACTTAATGTCAAGGGGAATCCTTAATCTTTACCTATTGGTACTGCCTAACTTAGATTGCCATGAATCTAGAACAAGGTTTTCACATATTTTTCTTCTACAGCCCCTTGAAATGCCACCCAGGATCTGCATTTAATGTCACATTGTTTGTGGTAAAGACCTGGTATTAATCAGTTATCTTCTCATTAAGTTCCTTGTTCTTATCCAAGATGGCCCTATGTTTCTATCACTATCAAAAATATTGATGCTGGAACTAAATTTAAAACAATCTGCTTGAATGAGATCATGAAATTCTTTTCTAGCAGAACTCCCCCAGAATGAAATCTTTAAAGTCAATGATAAAATTGTATTTTTCTTGTTAAGCTAGGCATTTATGATTACTTCTTTAATTCCAACAATTAAAAAAAATAGAGCTCATCATTTATGCTGACTTCAAACTCGACACTAGACCTCTTTTTGGCAGGAAGCAGAGTTTTAAAATCTTTTTAGAAAATGTAATAAAATCCAGTCACATTTGCCCAGGTATGCCCATAGCAGTGCTCAATTTACCAGAAAATTATCCTTTCTACTAGCTGTATTCTGTGACATAGCCATTTCCTGCTGTGAGAATTCAGACATATGGGACTCAGGAACGTATTCTTGTATGTGGTGCATATGTTCCTTTTGTTCCCTGTGGAGAAAATGTATATATGTATATTATTTTCTTAAAATGTTTTTAAGAACTAGCAATTAAATTATAATACATCCATATTAAATCATGATATACACACTATACTATTTTCAGGGATGCTGGAGCATTGAATATACCATAGGCATGTTCTGCTCACAAGCTTTCCTTAACACTATGAGAAAATTTCTAACATTTTTAAAATGCTGTAAATTCATTAAATCGATAAAAGTACATCTCGGTTATTTATAGGACTTACAGGACTATGGAAGGGAAGATAAATAAAATGGGTACATTTTCTATAATAAAAAATGTTCTAAAATACATTAACAAGTACTGAGAACCAGCGTGGTATAACGGTTTGAATGCTGGACTAAGACTCTGGGAGATCAGTGTTGGAATGCACAGTCAGCCACAGAAACCCACTGGGTGTCCCTAGGTAATAGCCAACATCCCCTGAAAATAAAAACAATTCCCAAGGAAATCCCACGATGGAATTCCCATGTCAAATCTACTCGAAGGAACATAAAACAACAAAATAAATAAGCACAGTATCAACTCACCGTATCATTTTTAGCTCTTGAGCTGCTTTCAAAATTATTTCATGCTGTCTTTGACTAAGGACCATTACTCCTCCCACTGGCTGCTCAGAGGTTACATTTGGCTCTTCTCCCAATAATTCAGACCGTGGTGGCAGAGGCGGTGGTTCCATATGATCCTCTAAAGGTGGGAATCTGTCCCTTTCATCGTGGTACCACCTATCTGAAAACCTTTCCCTTTCCCAATCACCCCTGTCAGGCGGTAAGTCAGGCTGTTCTCTCCACATATCATGTCTCTCTGGATACTCTCGAATTCTTAGCTCTCCCCTTTCTCTAGGATCTCTGTCATAGAAATCTCTCTCTCTTTCATCCAACCATCGATCCTCATGATATCTGTCTAAAGGAGGAAGGGGAGGCAATGGAGGGAGAGGAGGTATATCCAGATCATGACTCAGTGCATCTCTGTCCAACGGTCTCACATAATCTCTGTCCCAATCTCTTTCTAATTTATGATCATACACATCCATGGGTCTTCTGATCCGATCAAGATCTCTGTCCATCTCCCTGTCTCTATGCACAGGCCGTTCCCAGTCATCCCAAAGTGGATCTCGTCTCTCTACATCAGTAGATATGGGAGGTAAAGGAGGCAGAGGGGGGAGAGGTGAAAGGGGAGGCAACGGATGGCGGTGTGGTAATAAGTCATCTCTCTCATATGAATCGTGGGGATCATCATACCCCTGGTCATGCCCCTGTTCATGCCAGTATCTGTCTCTGTCCCAGTCATCTGATCGCCTGCACTCTGGGGGAGGAATATCTCTGTATTCTAATGGATGCCCTTCTTCCATTCCAAATTCTCTGTAAGCCCATGGAGGCCTAGTTGGTTCTTCACAAAACGGAGGTACATTTTCATTATCACCTCCATCATATCTGTACATAGTCCTCTCCCAATTACCAGGCCTCCTCCTCCTCCCTAGTTCTCTTTCCTGACTACTAGGTCTTCTGACTAGGTCTCTCTCCCAGCTACCAGCTTGATGAACTGGGTCCATCTCCCTGCTCCCAGTCTGCCAATCCAGTCCTCTCTCCTGGCTGCTGGGGGGCCTGACTGCACCTCTTTCTAGGCTACTTGCACGGCCCCTCTCTTTGTTGCCCATCCGAGGTGGTAACCCCGTCTCCTGGCTGCTTGGTCTCATACCCAATGCCCTTTCTTGGTTGCCAGGCTGCTCTACCATCTCAGATTCCCAACTGCCCTCTGACAGTCTGCCATGGTTTCCTAGTCCACTGCTTACATCTCTGCCAACTACATCTCTAGTCTGACCTCTACCTCTATTTGACATTCCTCTGCCTCTGACATCTCCCAAGCGGCCTCGGCCCCTGCCTCTTGTATCTTCCATTCTACCCTGGCCCCTGCCTCTGCCAACTGGCCCTTTTGCCTGAGTATCTCTTGGTGTAACTTGCCCCCTCTCCCTGTTCTCCAGTTTGGACTGTTCCTTGCTCTGATTGTTTTCTGAAGCCAATTTATTTTCCATAGAGTTCACATCTTTATTTCCTATTACTGGTGATTGTAGTAATGGTTTTTTCCCTTCGGATTTTGGAGGAAGTGAAGATATCACTGGCTGATGCAGAACAGTTGATGTACAGCTAGATGCCTTTGCAGTTTCTGATTGCGATGCAGATTCAGCTAAATTTTGCATTTTTGTTTCTGGCATTGCCTCAGACTCTGTTTTGGATAGATTTTGTTGTGCTGTAGAAAAGTCCTTATCAGGCTGACCTGGGCCAGATACTTTTGAATCTGGTGCAAATTTAGATTTATTTGCCACTGTCTGACCACTTGCCATTTCAGTAAGAGATTCTTTACTTTCTCTGTGATGATTCTGGTTTCCCAGAGGAGGTCTAGGTCCTCTCCAATGTGGCCCACCCGCTTGAGAGGTCTGGATTTGCGATGCACCTGAAGGACTATAAAATGCTGCTGCCGGACCCCGAGGGATAGGCCCCTGTTTGCCTGATAATCCATCGTTATGCTGATTTTGAAGCCTTGGCCATGGACCTTCTAAACGTTGGCCCTGAACATGAGGCACTCTCTGTCTTGGGGAGTCAAATCTCTCAAAACCTCTTCCTCGTGGTCCATCAAACCTTTGTGTTTAGAAAGGAAAAAAAACCTCATAAGAAAAATTATACAATCAGACTGCATTACTGAACAATGTGACATGTTCTTTTTGTCAAATTCAAACTACTAATGAAGTAGTAATGAACATAAAAAGTAATCAGAGAGATGTGATGATACAGGAGATACAATACAGAATGCAACCAGAATGAGGATTGATTCCACACAAACTTCCCCTTTTCAAAAAGGGGCAAATCAAACTGGAAAAGCAAGTAGAGTAGATATTATACTTAGCGATGAAAACAAAGGCCAAGTGAGGCATAACTCCCTGAACTTGGCAGGACTGTCAGGAAGATTTGGGTCTGAATACTTGGATTGTGTCTTCCTGCATTGCATGGGGTTGGATTGGATGGCTTTTGTGCTCTCTTCCAACTCTATGATTCTATCACATTCTGTCCACAAGATGCATGTACAATTAGCTCTCCATATTATCTGGAGTTCAGTGGACAGGACCCACAGAAAAGTGGAAAACTATGAATTGAAAACAAAAGAGAAAACACCTCTAGGAATCTCTATGTCCTCCAGTTAGCTGGAAATTGATTACTGAGTTGTGCTGAAGGACTTAGAAAGTCCTAAAGAGACTATATACTTAAATCTGTGAATAATGAATTTAACATAAGGTAAACCACCAAGGTGGAAGGGTGTGTAATTATTTCATTGTTTCAGCTATACTCAGTGACAGACAGGTGAGGGAAACAGAAAGGGAATTAAGCCTGAAATGCACATTTTGAACATGTTAATCAACTGATATTTGGGTTCTAAAAAGCCTTGAATTTTGGAAAACATTTCAGGTATATATTTTGAAAATAACAAATCAGGTCAATCACTTTAAATATAGATAAAAGTATTATGTTCAAACAGTTCTTTATATTTAATTTAAGTAATCCAATAAGAGGAATCTCAAAATTGGTGATACAAGAAGATTGAAAATTATGCATGTGAATAAGCACTTTTTGTCTCCATGTTAACTATTGAGAAAATAGTAGATATGTGCTATGGTAAATTATTAATTTTAAATCATTCTAAATAGTACAGTAGAAATTTGATCTGCTAAATGAATCAATTTTCTCTCTGCTGCCAGATGTCTCTGAGAAGTCTGGAGTTTTTGAAGAAGGGAGAAAGTCTGTGATAATGAGGTGATGGGTGATATTTCTTAGTCAGGTCTCTGTGTTGATGAGAACAGGAATGGGCAGCCAAGGATCTGGAAAGCTGTAACTTGCCAGGATGCTGTGCTGTCCTCCCCACTCACACATTCTGTGTAATATCAAGCGGCCAGGGAGGCAACCAAGAAGTTGGACCCTGTAACCTTTCCGAGTCCTTTCCTGGCTCTCCTGTACCTGTTTGCCAAGTGACTCTGGAAGGGAAGTCTATTTTAAAAGAGAGATTGAGAAAGTGGGTTTCTAATATGCAAAACATCCTTTCTCTGTTTCTCCTCAGAACTTTCAATATTCATTACAACTTTAACAAGAATAGACAGTTTGTTTCAATGAGTCAGAATTGCAAACCAAGGTTTCAGTTTTGAAAGTCAGTGCCTGTTCACCCTGACATTATCCATATATGAGGATGTGGACAAGATGGTGATGATTATTTATACCTCTCTTTTTCTCTCTAGAAACAGAATCAAAGTGGCTTATCATTGCTGACTATTGCCTTTTCTGGCTGATTAAAACAGTCAGGGGAGATCTGAGTGAGTACAGAGAGCAGCAAATGCATATTTGAAAGTTACGGCAGTCAACCTTAAGGTGGATGTTGTAAAACTTGTATTAACATGCCCTCCATGCATTACACTATTCCAATTAATGTCCAACTTGCCAGTTTTGGGAAAAGATGAGGGCAATCTCTTGATTCTTGGATGAACTGAGCCTTCTGATTTTTTTTTAACCTGACTTCATGTTGGGCCTAGGGTCCTTCCACACAGACCCTAGATTGCAGGATCTGATCCCAGGTTTTCTGCTTTAAAGTGGATTATATGAATTCGCATTGTCAGATGATCTGGGATAAACAGAAAAGCTGGGATCAGATCCTGGGATATAGGGCCTGTCTGGAAGGACCCTTAGAGTCTGAGATACCTTTGATCATCCTGATGGACAATTAATACCAGGGCAGGGCGTATATCCCCTTTTAGTTCTTCTGAACTCTGATAAGGTATTCAATATCACTAACATGGAGATTTTTCTTCACAACCTGAAAAGGATTGGCTTGAAAAATACATTCATACAATGACTCCAGTCCTTTAGGGATGGTTTTAGAACATGACATGGTTGTTCACTGCTTTGTCCCAGAGTATGGGCTGGCCTGAATTTTAAGATTTTGGGAGGGAGGGCTTTCCCTTGGTTGTACTATCATCACAAACAAATTGATGAGGATGTGAAGGAGCCTCTTCAGTGCCTGCTCTTAGGATATAGAGTTCTCTTCCACAGGAGGTCCAGTTAGCCCTCTTTCTGCTGCTGCATAAGTTCCAAAATGCAAATTACATATTTGGCAGCAGACCCAAGTGCAGAAACTAGAGCTTCCACTGAACTGTTGTGTGAAGTGGCAAGAAATAGGTACTCAACCACCCAATAGTCCATTTTTAGGTCCTCAAGTAAAGCAGCTGTGTGAAGTGGTTTGTTGAAAGAAGTTGTTGTCAAGTGAATGCAGACATACCTTGCCCATTGCTTTCCTCTCTAAATCTCTAAATCTCCTTCAATGTAATCATTTCACAGCTATTTGGTGGTGATACAAATGGCTAGCTTTGATACAAGATTTGGGAATTCCTTTTTAAAAAATAGTACAAACAAGTAGAGTATAACATAACCTCAAGAGGAAGTTTAGAAGATAACATAGGCAACTTTTACTGAACATATATTTTAACAATTTAACAAAAAAAAAGAGATTAAAAATTCGTATTTTGGAATTCCTCATTGGACAACTATGATTTTGATATTTCACCCACACATTTCTTTTCAAGCATTCACTAAGGAGATCAACAGATGTGGATGGCTTTGTCTGTTTCTGAGTTGTTCTGGAAGATTTTTTTCCAAGTTGTACAGATGGAAAGCATTCCCAACCATAAGATGAAATTGGCTTTCAACAGGACAGGGACTATGGGATGACTGTGGGATAGTACATAACTGATTATTACTATGCAAAATATAAGAAAAAAACCTACCTTGAGCTCCTTGGACCTTCATTGTATGATCCTCTTGGAGAATCAGAAAACCCAGCTGTTCTCACTTGTCTGTTCTGATAAGTGATTGTGGTGGTTGCAGTAGTAGTAGTAGTAGATGCAGATGATACTATAGAATGGGATTTTACTTCAATAGAAGTTGGTTCAGATGAACCAAATGACATGGGCTGTTTACCCAGAGGAGCATAAGAACTTCCTTGGTCTGAAGAGCTAGCAGATGATGTTAGATTTGAGCGACAAGCCAAAGTGGAAGATGTATCTGTATTTTTATAAGAAAAGGGACCAGGGGTAGGGAGAAGAGCTGGTCTGCCTGTTTCAGAGGCCTGGGAACTGGCAAGTGAATCAGAAGCTTTAAATGACAAAGAAGCAGGGGTAGGAAGCAGAGCTGGTCTGGTTGCCTCAGTTGACTGGGAAGGGGCTGATGAATCATTATTTTTATAGGGGAAAGAAGTATATGTAGGGGTAGGGAGCAGACCTGGTCTGCTTGACTCCATAGTCTGGGGGGTGCTAGGAGTCTCAGCTGTATTAAATGTAGTGGAGGCAGGGGTAGGAAGCAGACCTAGCCTGGCCACATCTGTCATCTGGGATGCAGGAAGTGGTTCATTGGCATTAGAAACACAAGAACTAGGAGCAGGAAAAAGAGTTGGTCTAGTTACCTCTGTGTTAAGAGTACTGGCAGGTAACTCAGCTTCTTTGTATGCATAAGACGAGGTAGGAGTAGGAAGCAGACCTGGTCTAACCATCTCTGTGGGCTGGGAAGTGGGAAGTGATTCAGTACTTTTAAATTTAGAAGAACCTGCTGTAGGTAACATGGTTGGCCTTGTTTCAGTGGCCTGGGTGCTGTGAAGGCTAGGATCATTTGAAACAGGCATATCAGATGTCTGTGGGTCAGAAGAGAATCCAGTAGAGGACAGAGGGAGTGAAGTTGAGGACAAAGTAGATGATGCCATCGGCATACCACTCTGTATTGTTTGAGGATATGGTGGATATAGGAGTGGCAAAGTTCCACTGCTAGCATATTGACTGTTCATGTTTCGAAGAGACTTCACTTTTTCTTGAAGGTGAATATGAGTAGCTTTCATCTGGCCCTGCCACATCATCCACTGTTTCTCACACTCATAAAGCTGATCTTTGTGAGGATAGGTCTGAAGATGATCCTGCCATTGCTGAAATTCACGTTCCCACTCTTTGTAAAGTGGTTGGAATTGTTTATTCTGAGTCTCAAAGTGCTGCAGTTGCATCTCCACTGAGAGAGTCTGCCAGAAACAGAAATTAATAATTACATATGTGCTGGCTTCATTCAGCTGGTCTACTCCAGCTAACAACTAGATGTAGTCCTATGTTTTGCAAGCACAGTCTTTTCTAATATGTCAAGGTACAACATATAGATTTATGAATGAAACATTTCAAACTTTCCATAGCTTCCATCAAACTGTAAGTGTACACTGAATGTGCAGCCATGCATTGGAGCCTTGAAATATGATAATCCTTTTTAAAATTATATACATCTCGATCCCCAATCATCATCTAAACATTTATTATGACAGTTTCCACTGAAATTAATGAGAATTCTTACTATACAACCTGATTCACATGATAATTTTTAGTAAGCAAATAATTTAGTTTCTTATCAAACACAGGCTATTTCCACATCAACAGTTTTTCATCAAAAATTTGAATGCTACTTTGGATGAAGAGAAAAAGAAACTAATGATTAAGTAGACAATGGTCTACATCAGGAGTAAGGAATTTCAGAGCACAAGCGGGGTATTTTACCACCCACTAAAGCCACACTAGCCCTTCCCTGAGACCTCACAAGTTACCAGATCATTTCTGAATTAAAATGAAGTTTGTTATTGTTATTTTGCTAAAATAAAGAGCAGAGAGTTACCATAATTTAGAAGAGAATTACACCCGCAAACCTATGGAGGTAAACTTTTTTCATAAAACAAAACAAGAAGAAGGAATGGCAGTTGTACCGGCTTCAAAACTGATTTTTTGGAGGGGGGGAGGGGGGGGAGATGTGTGATACCTGCCCACATGTATGCAGACAAATAAGACCCTCCCCAAAATAACTATTTAAGTCGATGCTTAGCACTCAAGCAAAATAACAATTTTATGTAAAAAGGAGGAAGTCTGAATCAAACTCACAGGCAAATGTGGTGGGTGCTGCATGATCTGCTGATAGTGCTGCAGAATTTGTTGCAGCTGAGCATGCTTTTGCATGATTCTCTGATACTGAAAACCCACTCGCTGCTGTGGATGCTGCTGCCACTGTGTTGCTGCCATTTGCAACTGCTGCAATCTCAAACTTTCCTCCGGATCCACTGGTGGCTCAAGGCTCAGCTGAGGGCACTGGTAAATATCAAGCAAAATGAAGTTTGTTCAGCAATGTAAGATACATCAGGTATACAACCCTGACTGCTGAAAATACTGCTGTGTGTTTTATATACATATACAATGGATGGTTCAGATGCAATATAATGAAACAGCAAGCTCCTCATATGAAATGTCTCAAAGTACAAAGCAGAATGAATCACCTTTAAGGAGAACTTCCAACAAAGCAATCGCTACTTTCCAAAATGAGTACTCTTTTCGTATTTGTTGAATGGTCACCTTTTGCTGACAGATGTGCTTCATTAGTGGAACCAAGAGAAGGCAATTTTTCTCCCTTGTAATCCTTACCGTCATATGCCCTAAAAACTTGTTATGTAGAACAAATTTCTGAGTCGTATAGAGGGCTATGGAATGGGTAGCAAGAAAGGAGACTTGACTACAAACAAGAAGTGGACTTCAGGAATGTATGAATGGGAGAAATTCTTACACTGTTTCATGAACGATTGTGCAAGAGTTGATAGAAAATTGTTAAACGATTTAGAGGAACATGACTAAGCAGAAACAGAAAGGGACCTCTGGATGTCAGTTCTCTGTACGCTTAATGTTGTAATGAGACAGAAATCTTGATTTTCCATTTTACACATAGGACACAATTTTACTACACTGCTGTATATAATGGGACTTGAGCATCCAGAGATTTGGTATTCATGGGCTTAAGTTTGGTGGTTCTGGAACCAAACTCCAGCAGATACTAGTGCATTAACACCTGAAGCTACAATTCAGCCCTGAGACTAGAGAGCCCTGTCTCTTCATCAAAGTGTTTTTATGTGCATCACAAGAAAGGCCTTTCCTCCCCATTTTGACCACTAATTAGCTTGGTACTCTAAATGTCATTTCCCATGTCTAGTTTAGCCTTAATTTTTTCATCTTAATAAATTCTCTTGTTTAATACAGTGAAAACAAGCATTGGAGGATCTACTTTCTTTTCCTTTTCACAATGGGTTCTGGTGCTTCTTTTGATCTAAATCAAATGTTGAATTCCAATTAGAGCAGATGACTTAATCAACTAAAAGTAGACAAACTGAGCTACATCTCTATCCCCCTAACAATGTCAGCCTCTTGATCTCTTTCCCACCTTTTGACCGTGAAGTCTCAACCAGATTTTAAATCAATTTCCCAAGAAACCACCAGATTTTTTCCTACTTTTGCAACCATTGGGACTATAACAAATATATGTGCAATTTCTCTCCTGCTTCTTTGTCTTATTTGCAGTTCTTGAGGAGACATCCATATTGAAGCCATTATGTTGAAGAATGAAAACATTAAAAAATCATGCTAGCATTAATGGGAAAAATAATATAGGTGGTTAAAAACACTTAACAAATTATCAGAGGATTTTTTTTCATGTCAGAAGCGACTTCAGAAACTGCAAATCGCTTCTGGTGTGAAAGAATTGGCCGTCTACAAGGATGTTGCTCAAAGGACTCCCAGATGTTTTATCATCCTGTGGGAGGCTTCCCTCATGAGAAGCTGGAGCTGACAGATGGGAGATGGCCCCGCTCCCCAGATTCGAACCGCCGGCCTTTCAGTCAGCAGTCCTGCCAGCACTGATTAGAAAATGAGATTATAGGCTGTATAGCACAGAGCACATTTATGAAGTTAGAAATTTGCTAGTGAACTTCAGTCCCATATAAATTGGAGGAATGCATTATGAATATTACTATCAAACACAAAAAGAATAAATGATCCCAAGGAATAATAATTATCACTTCAGCAAAAAGGGATATGTACTTCATACCATATCATATATTTATGTACTTCATACCATATCATAACTTATTTATTTATTTATTTATTTACTTACAACCACACTTTTATCCCGCCCTTTTTGGTCCGAAGGCAACTCAGGGCGGTGTACAGACTGGCAACAATTAGATGCTGAGCACACATAAATACATTATTCAAAACAGGTTAAATCACATAATAAAATTCATATAAAAACAATTTAAAGCTATAAAAATCAATGACTTCACTACCATAAGAAATTACATTAATTATAATTCTAAAAACTTTTAAAGAAAGAATTAGGTACCATAAATTCATCAGTAATGCACTTGAGCATTCACAATAACTTGGACAGACTCTCACTTTTTCAATCTTAGGGAACCCCTGCATAAAAAAAATATATGTACAACTCCATTTTTAAACCCCATCTTTACCCCACAAATCATGATATCTCACAGAACTCCTTGCAAAGGCTCACAAAACCCTTGGGCTCAGGGAATCCTGTTTGAGCAACCACAACAAAAAGGGTATGAATTACGTGTGTGTTTTGAATTAAGAGCCATCGCTCAGCCCAGGGTTCACTTCGACATACGAGAATTTTGAGTTAAGAGCTCAGTCACAGAACGAATCAAGCTCTTAACTCAAGGTATCATTGTAGTACTATTTTAGATACTTGACAAATCTGGGTGGTCACTACTAAAAACAAAATGTTAGACATATTCCACTGAACATATTCAGATGAACCAAAGCAAATCTTATAGTCTTGGCATTGGATTTCATTATGGAATCATTTCTCCTTTATACCACTATATAATCACACACAGTAATGTGATTTACTCCTAATCCCAAAATCTATTTAAAAGCACACAAAAATGATAATGTGTAATACAGTGTTATCTTTGTTCTGTGACAGTCTTGGATAGTGTAATTACTACTCAAGGCAAGCTTTGTAGAGTGATACCAAAACGTATTTTACAGATAGGCAAAGCTAATGAACACCGGGTTTTCACACACTGGCATGACGTCATATACCTAGACAGCTACAAATCTTGAGCCTGAAGCCTAAATGCCATGTCTATCTATTGAATAAATATGGTTTCTGCTAATTCATTTGAATTTATCTTCTTCCCTAATAATAATAATAATAATAATAATAATAATAATAATAATAATAATAATCTTTATTTATACCCCGCCACCATCTCCCCAATGGGGACTCGGAGCAGCTTACATGAAGTCAAGCCCGAACAACAAAATACGACCAAAAATGCAAACTGAAAACGCAAACAAAGCGAAAACGCAAACAAAGCAAAACACAACACCACAATTACATAAAACATGTGAATAAACATGAAAGCCTCAATGCAGGATGCAGACACAGAATATAAATCAAAAGAAGACCTCCATGAGAAGGCCAGGAACCCAAAACTGATGCATCAAGCATGCATTAATGCACTGTACACTTCAACTGACTGAGAAAGGACTGTTATTGACTCCTCTTGTATTCTAAAGCAACAATGCTAGAAGCAAACAGTGTTCAGCCAGATCCACTGAGAGCAGATACTTCAAAGTAAGGAAAAGAAGAAATAAATCCCTATTAATAGGCACAACAGTGACAGCTCTGTGCACAGCATACCTTTGCCTCAACAGATGACAAAGGGGGATCACCACCTTTGAGATGTGGTAATTTAGCTTCAAAATGCAAAGCAGACTCAGAAAGTTCATCAGAAATAGGAACTCCCTTTTCTTCTTGTCTCTGCTCAGGGGCATCTTTTACAGCTCCCAAAACTGATGGCAGCTGCTGTCCCAATGCATGTGTTTTTGCCCTCTGCTGCAGAGTAAGCAGATGTTGTTGATACCAATACTGCTGCTGTTCCTACAACAGAAAAGATGAGAAGGACAATAATATCTAGTTTTAAAAGAAAAGATCATATCCAAGAATTTAATGTGAACAAGCAATGTTAGTCATTGAAAAAATAGAGAACAAATCCCATTTTTAAAAGCATTAAAATATCTCAAACAAACCCAGATGCAACATCTTTCTACTGCAGTAAATATTAGAAGAGCCAATGAAAATATAGGTCGCAAGTCTAATCAAGATTTCATTCTAAAACAAGATTTTAATTAGTGATGTTTTCACTATTCTTGCTTTCTCACTCTTCATGCTTGTTTTTAGTTTGTTTCAACTGTCTGCACTTTTAATATATAATTATAAACTAATCACAGAACAGTATTGTTGGAAAGACAATATAAAGCTTTCTTCTTTGTGCTTCACTGTTTAATGTTCTTGTTAAATGTGTATTTTACTGGATATGAGTTTGATTGATGTGTTAATGTTTTAATTAATGTTTTATTTTTATTTTGTTAGCCTCCTTGAGTGCAAATCTTAGTGAAAAGGCAGGACATAAATATAATTAGATTACACTTTCCAGGTAAGTCATTAAGTATATATTTTTTTGCTTTGAAAAGTCTTGAGGCAATATTATGAACATAGAGGCAATATTATGAATGCAGAGAAGTGTTCAAAGTGAATCCACCACCTCTTCTTTGAGTGCCCAACTGAAATGTATACATGCTGTTATGTGGCTAAAATCTAGCTGTCAGATGACTTGCCAGATAGTCTGAGCCAGAGCTCAAAAAAGTCACTTTTTGGGCTATTGCTCACAGAACAATCCATCATTCACTTATGCATTTCCTCAGTGCTCCTTCATGAATTTCATGAAGCTGGCTTTAGGAAGTAGGGAGATCAGGTTTCATGTAGTTTCCCTCTCCCTCTTTGATCCATTTCCATGCCTATTTGTAATAGTTCTTATTGTTGGTTTATTTTTGTGACACATGTTTATTAAAATAAATGTCTGATGTTTAGTAGAAGAATGATCTGCTAACATGTCAAGTAGTATTATAGCAAAATCTAAGATCAACAGTAATAATTTTTCACAGCCACAGGTCCAGAGGATACAGCATTCCCTGTTCTGTGTATGTGAGATTACTCTGGCCAAATAAGGTAGCAACAGAACATTGTTCTCTGAGAATATGACTACCAAATCATTATCAATGCAATTGTGCCCAACTCTACACAGAATTAATTTCTAGTGAGTTCAATGAAATTTAGTTCCAGCTAAGTCTGTAAATGCAGCTATAGCTTTTGATTTGTAACTCATATTCCTGATAGACTAACAACAGACAGTTGCAACATCTATTCAGCAATACAACTAATATCAACTGCAGCCACTGCTACACAGAATCCCCTCAACAGAGCAGAGTAAGCTTATTTCCATTGCTGAAAAACAATAAAGAAATGTGTGCCAAAAAAGGCATTAGAACGAACTCCAAGGAATATGATCAAAGAATGTGAAGATTCACAATATAGGATTTATAAAATGTATGCAATCATTTGGCTCTAACTACCACTTACTCAAGTTATATCTACACGTTACACAACCATGTAGGTTTCCTGTATACACTACATGCCTACTGGGGTATGAATATTAGTGAGGAAGGATGAACAAGTTAAATTAAGAGTTTAACACTTATTCAGCTTGCAGATTATCCTCTGCCTATGCTCATACACTGCAGGCCAGACTTCCGTCAACCTCTGAGCCTTACTGGAGGACACACAATTTATAAGGATGTGGGATTTTTGAAAGGAGGAAGTCTCTCATGTCTCATCATACATATTTCCTAAGGCTCATTTAAGAGAAATTTTGGAGACATGAAGGAAATATAGGTTGCTTACCTGTAAACGTATTTCTTCCAGTGATAGTCTGTGAAATCCGCACTAATGGGTTTCTGTGCGCATGCGCAGTGATTTCGGAACATTCTAGATGAAAAGAATTTAGGCGGGAGTCCCGCCCACCCTCCCAATGGTATAAAAGGCAGTAGGCGGAGTTCCGCTTCAGTTCCTTGCCGCCAGACAGCAGCCAGGAAAAGAGGCATGACATAAGAGGGGAGGACGGGCGGGACGTGCGGATTTCACAGACTATCACTGGAAGAAATACGTTTACCTGGTAAGCAACCTATATTTCTTCTTTGGTAGTCTGTGAAATGCGCACTTGGGTGACTAGAAAGCTACCAACCTGGAGGTGGGTCATGCCACACATGAGAAGAACTGCTCTGCCAGGCCGCAGAGAATAGAGGGAAGTGGGACAGCGGGGAGGCGGGTGGCGAAGGCGGGAGGAAAGAAGTGAGAGGAGAGGAGAAAGGGGGGGGAAAGGGGGAGGAGAGAAGGAAGGAAGAAGAGAAGGAAGGGAGGGGGGGGGGAAAGGAGAAAGGGAGGAGAAGGGGAGGAGGGGAAGAAGGAAGGAAGGAAAGGGGAGAAGGAGAAGGAAGGAGAGAAAGGGAGAAGGAGGGAAGAGAGGGAGGGAGGGAGAGGGGAGAAGGAGGGAGAGGAGAAGGGAGGAGAAGGAGGAGAGAGGAGAAGGGAAGAAGAGAGAGGCCAGTATGGGAGAATTTTCGTCGTACTAGCGTAGCGGGAGGACTGGCTTTTGAGCACCTTCTTTCTCTACAAGAATAAAAGAGGCGGGGGGAGGGAGGTTTTGAACTGCGCTGTCCTCAATTTCTCGTTTCTGGTCTGGTTTCCTCTGTAATAGCTTTCTCTCTCTATCTCTTGTGCGTTGGGGATAGGAGCGACGGTGGGGCGCGGTACAGTGGGGGAGCGGGGAGGAAGAGGGTACCGCCTAAGAACGCCGTCTTCCAGGAGAGATGGGAAATGTCACTGGAAGCCATGGGTTCAAAGGGAGGTTTGGAGAGTTGAGACAATACAAGCTCAAGGCTCCAAGCCGGAGGTGGGGGGGAAACTGGGGGATAAACATTTTTATAACCTTTAACGAATAACTGAATTAACGGATCTTGAAAGAGGGATGGTAATCCCGATTTTCTCCTATACCAGGAAAGTGCTGCAAGATAGCACTTGATTGAGGATAAGGAAAAACCCCGGGAGGAAAGGTGAACTAGAAAGTCTAAAACAATATGAACTGGGGCTGAGACAGGCTCAAAGCCCAAGGGGTGAGTGAAAGATCTGAATTTTGACCACTTGTAGGTATAGGATCTCTTGGTGGAGGCCTTTTGAGCTGATTGGATGATGAGCCATGCGGTCTCAGAGAGGTGGCTCATGGTCTGATCCTCCACGCCGTGAGGCGCAGGGTTGGGAGATCTGGATGACAGATCCGTCCGTCCTGTATAGTGAGGAGATCTGGGCTGGATCGTAGGCGAAGAAAGGTTCTGCGTGATGCGTGAAGGAGAGGAGCAAACCATGGTTGCCTGGGCCACCATGGAGCTATCAGAATGCAATTTGCTTTGTCCATGATGATCTTCGCTACTACTCTGGAGAGTAGAGGAAGAGGGGGAAAGATGTAGAGGAGTCCTTGGGACCATTGGAAGAGGAAGGCGTCTCCTAAGCAGCCTGGGGATACGTGAGGTTGGAGTCTTGCGCAAAAGAGAGTGCACTGTGTGTTGTCTGGGGAAGCAAACATGTCTACTTGTGGATGGCCCCAGTGGCGGGTCAGGAGGTTGAACTCCCTGGGGTGTAAATGCCACTCGTGGGTTGTGGTCGGAGTCCTGCTGAGAGAGTCCGCCAGGGTATTGTCTTTTCCCGGAAGGTGGATCGCAACGAGGAATATGTTCCTCCGGATGCACCATTCCCAAATCTCGGATGTTATGGAGAGGAGGGTTGGGGAGTGGGTTCCCCCTTGCTTGTTGAGGTAAAATTTTACTGACGTGTTGTCTGTGACTATCTGGATGGTGCGGTTGGAGACCAGGTGGGCAAAGGCCCGGAGGGCTTTCCCCACTGCTAGTAGCTCCAGTGCATTGATGTGGAGTTGTCATTCCGAGTGAGACCAGCGGCCGCTGATCGTCAAGTCTCGGAGGTGTGCTCCCCAGCCGGAGGAGGAGGTGTCCGTCATCAGCGACAGAGACGGACGGGGGTGTGTGAATGGGAGACCTGAGCATACATTGGATTCCCTTGTCCACCACAGGAGGGAGCTGAGGACATGAGCGGGAGGATGGAAGATCATGGATTGTGAGTCGTGAATGGGATCGAACACTTTGAGGAACCAGGATTGGAGCGGGCGGAGGTGGAGGCGGGTGAAAGGGGTTACACTTGTGGTGGATGCCATGTGGCCAAGTATGGACTGGATAGCCCATGCAGAGGATCGGCCTGAAGAATAAAGGCTGTTGATGGCTTGGCAGAGATTGGAGAATCGGTCTTCTGGCAGGTAAGCCCGTTGGGATATGGAGTCTATCAGGGCACCAATAAAATGGATGCGCTGGGTAGGTATGAGGTGGGATTTGTCGAGATTTACGACAAGTCCAAGTTCCTGTAAGAGAGACAAGGTGAAGGAGATGTCAGAAAGGAGTTGGGAACGAGATTTCGCCGAAAAAAGCCAATCATCTATGGATGGAAAAACCGTTACGCCGTTTTGGCGTAGGTGAGCAGCTACAACTGCCATGCACTTAGTGAAAACCCTGGGGGCGGAGGAGAGACCAAAGGGTAATACGGAGAAGGAAAAAATGTGGTTGTCCAGCGCAAAGCAGAGGTATCTGCGATGGCTCTGTCTAATTGAGATGTGGAAGTATGCGTCTCTGAGGTCAACCTTGGCGAGCCATGCTCCGCTTGTGATGAAGGGGAGGATGTTGGCTAGTGTGACCATGCGGAATTTACGTGGTGAAATGAATTTGTTAATGCCACGGAGGTCCAGGATGGGGCGTTGGCCTCCGTCCCTTTTATCTACTAAGAAGTAGCGGGAGAAAAAGCAAGTGTGAGCTAGTTCGGGATGTACAGGTGAAATTGCCCCTTTTTCCAAAAGAGAGAGGATCTCATCCCAAAGCATGGGAGAGGATTGAGTTGGTAGGATTCTTCCCAGTGGGGGGAGAGAATCG